GACCTCTAGACGAGGTGGTCAGGGGATCTAAATTCTAGTCTACTAATTGCACGACCTCAGTTAATTGGATGCAGTTAATATTTGATCTGCCATGTGTAAGATGCTATGTTAAACACATGACTGAGGGTACATAAAACGTGGGAAAGTGTCAGTATCTCCAAAGGGTTCACAAGTCTGGTGGGGCAAATACATTGCAGGCCGGATGTTAAGATACACAGCAGCTCATGGTCACAGCCACAGAGCTGCTCGCCTCTAGGAGAGTGCAGAGGAGGAAGATCACCATTGGTTACATCTCAGGCATTGACCAATGAGATTCCTAAGCAGTCACATCCCCAATCAATGTAAATGGGAAAATATTCCAAGTTTATGGCAAGACATTTTCTCAGCCCTCCTCCCCAAAGTTAGCATCCCACCACTTTAAATTTTCACTGATTTGACAAATATCAATGGAGCTTTTATGTGCCAGGTATGTGCTAAGCTTGAAGACAATAACAGTGAACAAAACAACATGGTCCTTGTCCTCATGTAGTCCACAGGGAGCCACAAATACATAGGTAATTGGACTACTGTGTGAGGAGGGTGTCATGATCCTCTTCCGGTCCATACTGTGATTTGCATCAAAGTAGAAGCAGGAAAAATGAGGGAGGAATCTTCTATGGACCTAATCCAGGGTCAGAGTTAGAAAAAACTATTAGTGTGGATCTTGCCCAGGCTCTTGGTCCTTGATGGAACATTTTCAAGAGGAGAATGGGTAGAGATGGGATGGAGCAGAGCTGACCAGGTAGGCCTTTGGCTCGGCTGAGACCCTCCACTGCACTGAATGTTGTGATGAGGAGAGCATTGGACAAAAATTCAAGAGCTTTCAGATCCAGTTCTCTGTCACTCTATGATCTTAATGCTTCACTTCCCTATCTCATTGAGGAAATGGGGATAAAGAACACTGCTCTGTACTTCCTCCGGGGTTTTGGAGGACCAAATGAAGGAGTCCATGAGTAGTTTATGCCAACTGTATAATGCTACACAGATCAGTGATTCTTACCATTATCAGCCACACCTTGTGCCGAGTTGGACTCTCCTCACCTGGTCCAGCCAAGAGGCAGAGAAATGAAACTGATGACTTCCACAAGTCTCTTCCAGATGGAGAAGCAGCACTTATGCCTTGTTGGCAACCTTTCTCTCCAACGTCCCTGCTAAAGTCTACACCCAAATTAGGAATATTTGCTTTTTAAACAGTGCATGTGTTTAATAATATACTTAACACAGTTTGGGGTTATGTGATGAGAATAAGGCCAGAAGTTCTCTAAGTAGCAGTTTGGGGTGTTTTCTTATAAAAGCACTTCCACAATGCAGGTTTATGAGGCCCTACTTAAAGTTCCGTAACATATGAGCCTGCAACTTGTCTCTTCCATTCTGTCATTAACCCCTTCTGTGAGACTCCTGCGTAGACTCAATGCCTTGCTCCCTTGTGGATCCCCATCCTGATGGGAAACACTGGCCATTGAACAAAGTTGGCAACATTCTCCAATTGTTTCTACCCTAGCATCCTGTGAGTGGGGGTGGGATGGGAGAGTGTAGTGCTCCATGTTTATTAGAGGCTGGTCATCAACATCTGTTGGGCACTGCACCAAATGCAAATGTCGTTGCATTCTGTCTTCCCCACTAGTCTGCTGGCCCACTGAGGGAGCGAGCATGTCTGCCTGGCTCCCTGCCCAGTCACCACCACCTAGAGTCAGATCAGTGAATCTTCATCAAATAAATTGAGCCCTTATGTCAAACAGCTCCTCTAGGTGGGCATTATAATCCCCAATTTATGGATAAAACTGAGGCTGGAGTTGTCTAAGAATGTTGTCCAAGGCAAGAGAGGGTGTCTGGACACTACGTGCTCTGTCTGCTCCCAGAGGTTACACTCTTCTGTGCAGCAGGCTACTAAGACCCTCCTCTCTCAGAGGCTAAGAATTATATTATTTTGAAATCAGTTCCCCAAAAGTTTGCATTCCATCTGTGTTTGCAAATAGGCTCTTGTCGAATATTATTAGACATATACCCAGAAGTAATTATTTTATAGATCTCTTAGTCCTATCTTGTGATTTGATTTATGAAGAAGTCCTAAATTCTTGGGAGAACTGAAATGAGGTCAAAGGTCACATATTCATTCACCAACATGTATTAAATACCCATTAAGTGGCATACCCTGGGCCAGTACCCTGAGATTTAAAGGTGAATAACAAATATTTCCTGTCCTGAATAACTTACAGTCTAACAGGTCTGACTATGCCTTCTATTCCTTTAAAAAAATTATTACAAAAGTGAAACATGCTGACTTATGAATATCTGGAAAGCTCGGGTAAGAAAAGAAAGAAAACAAACCACCAAAAATTCAGATAATGTTTTATAAATCCTGAGGGTAAGACCTATGTCTTAGTATTTCTGTGCCAACAAAACCATACACAGGTTTTAAAGCGGAGGATGAGCTCAGTAAAATGTTTTTTGAATAGGGAGAAAGCCACCCTTAATACCACCACCCTGAGATCACCACTGCTAACGTGTAGAAAATATTCTTAGCGCCTTTTTCTTTGACTGTCCAGTGACTGGGTTGTCATTCTTCCTGCCTTACCTAAGCCAGGTAGATAAATGCTTGGCCTCTTTAGCACCCCCTACAGGTGATGCAGTGCTGCTTGCCATGTTGACAGGTAGCTTATTTAATTGCTCAACTGGAGCAACCCTTTACATCCCTCCCAGAATCTTCTCACATAGAGGGGTCTCTTGGTTGTGGGAAAAGCAGTAGCTTTTACCAAACACCCCCATGCATACCCCACCCCACCCTAGAAACACTTAGGGGCAGGAAGGTGGTTTATCCAAGATCAGTCCCCTTGGATAGAGGGGAACTATCAGCTAGCGTCCCACAGACCAGGCTGCATGCTGATTCAGTTGAGGGAGGCTTCAAAACTCCGGATGCCTGGGACACCTTCACAGCAGTTAAAACACTTGCTAAGCATGAAGCCCAGGCACTGGCCTTTTCGTGTTTGGGGTGTTTTGTTTTGTTTTGTTTTGAGACAGAGTCTTGCTCTGCCCTGGCTAGAGTGCCGTGGCATCAGCCTAGCTCACTGCAACCTCAACCCCCTGGGCTCAAGCAATCCGCCTGCTTCAGCTTCCCAAGTAGCTGGGACTACAGGTGCATGCCATGACGCCTGGCTAATTTTTTTATTTTTAGTAGAGATGGGATCTTGCTCTTGCTCAGGCTGGTCTCACCTAACGTCAAGCAATCCTCCTGCCTTGGACTCCCGGAGTGCTAGAATTACAGGCATGAGCCACCGTGCTCAACCCTTTTTGTGTTTTTAAAGCTACCCAGGTCAGGGATTAAGAATCACCGACTTAAAGGAAGCCAGGGCAGTGGCGTGAGAGGCCTTTTGAGACTAGCAGAGGTCACTGCAGTGGACAGAGTTGGGCCAGTCAGGCCCAGAACTTGGCATCACATGGGTGGGTTTTCTATAGCCTACTTCAGGAAAAACCTGGGTGGTAGAAGTGGGCAACTTGTTTGCAAAGGGAAACCCAAAAAAGGAAATAACATCTTTGTTCCAAAGGGCTTATAGGTCCCCCTCTAAGGGAAGAACACACAGAAATCACTCATGTTCACATGAAACATGGATAAATACAGGGAAATAAGCACGAAGGCTCCAGCTGGGCAATTTTGTAAGGCACATGAGTTTTCTGGCTTCGTTATAATGGAAAGAAGTTTTACCAAATAAAATATCAGAGTTTAATGGAAAGAAGTTTTACCAAATAAACTATCAGAGATAAGCCACTTTAATAATAGGCTGCTTAGCAGAAGAAAGATGATTAGAATTAGATAATCTTTATTATTGAGTACATATTATTTGTCAAGCATTGTGCTAGGTACTTGACTTACATGATTTCATTTAATCTTTGTGATAACACTCTGCATTCGATATTATTTATTGCTATTTTATAGTAGAGAAAATTGGTGTTAATCAATTTTAAGTAATTAGCATACAGTCACATTAAACAAAACAGATGACCTCAGCCTCTCTGAGTCCAAAGTCCGTGCTTTTCTACATTGCCTGGCTTTATGACCTGGACTTGCATGATTAGAGGTAATACAAAAGATGGAGAAAAAAGCCAAAGTGACCATCCTCTCGAGAAGGGGTAACTTTCCAGAATGGCTAGTCGGCTAGATGTTTTCTTTGCTGTGAAATATCTAGGGTGTCCCAAAGCATGCAGCATGGTATATACACAAATAGCCCTAGCAGTTCTTCCTGGAACCTGCCTTGTGACTGGAACTTAGTCAGCTTAGTCACTTATTCTCTGTTTTCTCAGGTATGAAGCAAGAAGTGTTAGAATGGTTAAGACGGTCAGTGGTTTTCAAGTTGCCCTATGCAGGACAGGAGGTCATGCTGGGGACAGGATAGACAGACAGGACTTCTCTTTTTCCCCTTCAACCAGAGACAAAGTTCTGCATTTACTTTCTTAAAAAGAAGTTTCCCTTGCTTGGAGGTGGGGGAAGGAGTGGAGAGAGGACGTTTGGAAGGAAACCACCAGGTTAGTTAATGTCAAAGACACTTCCAGTTTGATAGGTCTCAGGTCTTCTGTTTTTGAAACTTCAGGAGACTGGGAAGAATCCTATCACCGCATTGCTTGTGTATTGAGCAAGAGGAGAGTATGATTTTTGCATGTGAAGGGAGGAAGAGCAACTAAGGAGAGGAAGGACAGAGAGGGCAGCTGTGCTAGCAGAGGTCTGAGCCACAATGAACCTGCCCAGTGCTGCACACTGCCAGGCGGGAACAAGAACAACCAGATTAGACGGAAGTCAACCCAGTGCCTTTGTTGATAAAGAGGGGTTCTGGCACTACATGGTCACGGCAAATTGAGAGGGGGTTCCCCTCCCTAGGTTGTACTTCATTTTACTCAATAGCATACAAGTCTCTTGTTCTCTTTTAGTAATTTAGAATTCAAGCAATTTTCTCTTTCTTTGTGTTTTTCAGATTTTAAATCCAAATTTCATCCAAGAAGGTGAGTTAAAAAATAGTAGAATTGGGAATGTGGGGATTGGCTAAATAAATTATAGTAAATCCAGCATTAAGGTAGAACCTTTTAATAGTGGTAACGTGGTTCTGTATTAATGGACAAGGACAGATGTTTGTGATAAATCGTTTGATGAAAAGGACTACAACTTGCAATATGTATAATGTGATCCAGTTTGGGTAAGATACCTGTTTATCTAAAACCTCAAAGGATATATATATATAATACCAGAATATTCACAGTTGTTATCTCTGGACTATGACATCATGGAGCTTTTTTTCTTTTCTTTTCTTTTCTTTTCTTTTCTTTTTTGTTTATGTGTATTTCCTAATTTTTCTATAATATTTATTATTTGTAAATACTTATTAAAGGGACACATAACAGCGTTATGCTGAAGGTTACTGGAATCATTATACAACATGGGTGGGGAATGATAGTGTTGTATGAAAAAAATGGCTGTTTTTTTTTCTAAATTTGTTCTGAGTGATATGAATGTATGTTGATTTGATCACAGTGGCCCCAGAGTTCCTTGTGCCCTTGGTGGATGTGACTTGTTTGCTTGGGGACACTGTGATACTACAGTGCAAGGTCTGTGGGCGGCCGAAGCCCACCATCACCTGGAAGGGTCCGGACCAGAACATCCTGGACACCGACAACAGCTCCGCCACATACACCGTCGCCTCGTGGTAAGCCGATCGCCCCGGCATCACGCCACCAGCACCTTAGCGCAGCACCGAGAGCCCCGATCTGGGATGCAGCTTCTGTTCTGGTTCACAGTCTTTCCCAGAGAAGAGCCCTGAAGCCTATTCTAGCTCTGACACTTGGCCTTGATTAGAGGAGAGAGCGAATAAAAATCCTCAGCCTGAGCGGCTCACGCTGCAGCCACATGTCACCAGCCTGAAGTTCGTGGTGGGCAGCAACAGCTTCACTCGTTGCTCGGCACCACGTAGGCGTACCTGGGACAACAGAACGCTTTGCAAAGACTGTGTTCTGGACCCACCTATGCAAATAAAGAAAAACATAAACCTTTATATACCATCTTAGGTCAAGCATGAGCCACACTTTTGAAGAGCTTTTACAGTCACTGCCTTACATTCCGCGATTAGATGCCATCTCCCTGTGGCCCCTAAGTAATGCTCTAAGTCAGAAGTGGAGAAAGCTCCAGACCGATAGTAGGAATGTGGTCCCCAAATCTGGACATTCTGGTATTTTTGTGCCCTTAGGATGCTGTGAAACAGTGATACATTTAATTCCTTACCTAAGAACAATTTTATTAGGAAAAAAATGATTCATTGCAAAATGTGCAGTAAAAAAATCAAGCTGCTTCAAGCATGCTTCTACACAAAAACACTGTTTAACAAAACTTGGCTGACTGCCTCCCAATCATTCTGTTAACATTTATTGTTTACTAATTATAAACTTTATTGTGTATTACTGCTTACAGTGGACAAGCAGTAACAAGCCCTAAATGCTTAAGAAACATTTATGGAAGGAACACCTAGAATCAAGAAACGTTAACCCATTGACTTAATTTGTGTACATGGGAAATGGAAAAAGACCTTCATTCCTTGGTATTCCCAGCAGAGACTCCCTGTCCAGATCATAAAATACCAGTGGGTCCAAGGAGCTTAGTGTGAGAGGCTGAGCTTGTGAGGAGCAGCAGGGTGGACACAGCCCTGGGGAAGGGCGGCGCTGACCATGACTTCCGTAGTTAACCCTTTCAGAGCAGTTCTGCCCTTGGGATGTTCCTCCCATACTGGATGAGCAGGGAAGTTATCGTTTAGGTGAAGGAATTTACCCTTTCTTAATTCGCTGAATTCTTTTGAGGGTCCCACATGTAGAATTTGAAATACCTGAACATTTTCATTCTTTAGTCTTTCCTTTTTTGTTGCACCATTCATTATTGATCTGTGAGATGGAATATATTCTAGGACAAGGTTACTAGTGAGAATACTACTAATATACTGTGGACCAGTACTTGTATAGGACTTTATGTATTTTAAAGCATGTTCTAATTCTTATATCATTTTACTCCTTATGTTATCTCTCATTTACAAGAAACTTGAGAGATGGGCATGGCCAGAATGTTTTCCCCATGTCAGGAAGTGGAACAATAGAAAGGTGAGGCGATCACCCAGGGTGTGTAGGGAGATAAGAGACAGGGACTAGACCTCGGGCCTGAGGCCTCTCAGCTCAGCACCGGCGTGCCAACCCTAAGGGATTTTACCCATCAGCCACTGTCTCATCACTCAAGTCTGAAGGGCATCCTTCTGGTGTCTCTAGTGATTCTGGGGAAATCACCCTGAAGATCTGCAACCTGATGCCCCAGGACAGCGGGATTTATACCTGCATTGCAACAAACGACCATGGGACCGTGTCAACGTCTGCTACAGTTAAAGTGCAAGGTATAGTCTGTTTGTTAGGCAAACTTTTCTAAATAATGTTTTTAAACATTTTTTAATTGTAGTAAAACACAGACAACATGAAATTTACCATCTTAACCATTTTTAAGCGTACAACTCAGCTGGCATTAAGTACATTCACATTTGTGTGCAAGTGTCACCACCATCTGTCACAGAACACTTTTGTCTTCCCAAACTGAAACCTCCCCTGTACCCATTAAACACCAACTCCCCATTCCTCCCTCCCGCCTCCCCCGGCCCCCACCATTCTACTGTCTCTGTCTGAGCTCGTGTTAGTCAAACCTTTTAAGCGAACACTATATGGGCTCCCCGAGACCTGGGGAAGAAAAGGTCCATTGTGAAATTTCCAAAATAAGTTCTAGCAAACGTGGAGGGAGCAACTCTTTGCTAAGAGCTGTCTGTGGCCTCCCACAAACCTACTGAGGGTTCCCTGACCACGCGTGATCTCAGTGTGCAGGGTCTAGCTGAGGAAGAGCTTCAGATGGCCGGGCATGTCCCCCAGGTCTCCCTTGGGCCTGGAGAAAGGTATGCATGCCACTTGGTGGAGAAGGACACAGGAAAACATTGAGACACAGGTTAGGTAACATTTCCTAGATGACGATCTACCTTGGTGTAAAACGCGGAGCTCTGAAGAAATAGCACTTGGTCCTAATTTCTGTCTCTGTAGGTGTTCCAGCGGCCCCTAACCGCCCCATTGCCCAGGAGAGAAGCTGCACCTCTGTGATTCTGCGCTGGCTGCCCCCGTCGAGCACGGGAAACTGCACTATTTCTGGTTACACCGTGGAGTACAGAGAGGAAGGTGCGCTGTCTCCTCCTGCTCTTGTTTTTCTGTTTTCTCTTCCTCCCGAGGAGCTCCTTCAGAGTTATAAGCCTATTATAAGCCTATCCCATCCTTCCTTCTCGTGTCTTCCAACTCAGCACAGAGGCCTCAGTGCCAGACTACAGCCGCCTTCTGACCTCAGATGTCAAGCAGCTGTCGTCACTAAGATGATGTAACCCCCTCCCCGACATGTTTATAACCTGGGACAGGTTTCAAAGTGTCTTCACGTGCACTTCTCTAATTAACATGCTCAATCACGATTGAGGACAATTGGGCCCACTTTATAGATGAGTAGGCTAAGGCCTAAAGAAACTTAAGAAAAACAAGGTTGACTGGGCACAGTGGCTCACACCTGTAATCTTAGCACTTTGAGAGGCCAAGGAGGGAGGATTGTGTGAGGCCAGGAGTTTGAGACCAGCCTGGACAACATAGCAAGACCCCATCTCTACAAAAAAAAAAAATGCTTTAAAAATAAGCTAAGCATCATGCCCATAGTCCCAACTATTCAAAAGGCTGAGGTAGGAGGACAGCTTGAGCCCAGGAGCCGAGGCTGCAGTGAGCTATAATTGGGCCACTGTACTCCAGCCTGGGTGACAGGGCCAGACCCTGTCTCTTAAAAAAAAGAAAAAGAAAGAAACACAAGGTTGTAGTTAGTAAGAGGCAGAGCCAGCAGTAAAACCCAGCTCTCTAGTTTGCTATTAACCACTTCGGTACGAGTGTGGACCATAGTCGATAGCCACAGATGAATGCGCACAGCGACTTTAGCCGACAGCCATGATATGAAGGCAAGCAGCCGAGCGTCGACTTTAGCGTTAATAACAAAACTTGACTTTTCTGATTTTTCATTTATCAAAATAAAATTGTGAACATTTAAAAATGATGTAATAAAAACATATATTTATATGTTACCTATTCTGATTTACATTACAAGTAAAGCTCCCCATAAAGTAAAACAAGCTTTCAGTGCTTTCAAGCTTTCCTCATCACACAAGAGCAAAACGGATTTGTCATCAATGCACAGCACAGACTATCGTGCGGACAATGAGTGCCGGCTGTGGGCAAGGTTTTGTGGCCAGTGAGCGCCGTACCCAAGTGGTTAATAATTTGTGATCTTTGTCCCAGATAAATAACCAGGGTAGTGTGATGAGAGATCTATACCTCCTGCCTCCAGATAAAATTTAGAGACAATATATAGTTTTTAATTGTGCAGTTTAAAATTGTGCAACTTATACTTTTAAAATTTGTTAATGTTTACTTGCTCTAAAAGTTCATGTATTTCTTCAGGGGTTAGAAATAACTGAGATTTCCATCTTGTTATAAAGAAGAATTAGTTAAAATAAAAAGGTTCCAGATAGCTTTAATTGTTAATAACAAATCTCTGGGCCACATAATGAATCGCACGATCAAATTGAAAGCAACTGCTTGCTGCCTCACCCCACCCCAAACCAAAATTATTCATTTTACTCTACTTTCTGATACTCTTACTATTTTAACTTTTTTTCTGTGTCTCTTTTATTAAGCCTGCCCTAGTTTAATTGAAATTAAACTATTTATTTTTGCATCTTTCTTAAGCCATTCATGCTTAGGTCTCCAGGGTCCTCACCAAGGTGTTAATGCTGAGCTGGGAGACACATTCCATAAAGTTCATATTTGCCTTATAACTATTCAGTTAATAGTGCATCTTGTTAACTAAGTTCTCTTGGGCAAATTGTTTAATATTTCTGAGGCTCAGTTCCTTTGGATAAAGGATTATGTAGGATTAATGCTCTCTACATCATTGGGTTTGTGTGGATTTACATGAGAAAATTAAATGAGAGAATTATGTTGAAGACACTAGAAACCTTCCACATTACTTTACATGTTTATAGTGCTCAATACATGTTAATTTCCATTTTGTTTCAGTTTCCAAATGCATATTTTTTCTCATTTTTTAATAAATTTATAATATATTCTTCTAGCATATTAAAAATTTACCACATATCCCCTGTAAATTCTGCTCTTCTGTCTCTGCTCACTCTCACATTTGCACATTTGAAAAAGGACAGAATCTATGGGCCAACTTCTTCCACACCCCTCACCATTTATTCAATCATTTAGGAAACTGAACCCAAACTGCCACAGTTGGCCCATAACTGTCCCTTAAATTAAATGTGTCAATTTTCCTTTCTTTGTTTGCTGAAGGTCTTTGAAACAATGTCCCTGTGCATTTTCTCTTTCTCTCTTCTGGGAAACTGTCACTAGGTTCTCAGATCTGGCAGCAATCGGTAGCTTCGACCTTGGACACTTACCTCGTCATCGAAGACCTTAGTCCTGGGTGTCCTTATCAGTTCAGAGTCAGTGCCAGTAACCCCTGGGGAATCAGCCTTCCTAGCGAGCCCTCGGAGTTTGTGCGACTTCCAGAATACGGTGAGTCCCGGCCAAGCCCACAACCCCCAGGCAGTGGAGGCACCTGGCCAGCTGTGACAGGCCCACTGGCACTGGCTGCTCACTGGCCACCATGTGAGAAGTGACCTGAAGCTGCTTCAGCTTCAGTCAAGCAACATTTTAGAGGCCTGATGGAGAGTGTTTCCATAAAACGTGACTCCAGGCATCTTGGGAAGATGTTAGATCTGCCCCCAAGCCTAATCTTGGGCCTGCCAACACCCTGGGGGACCAGGTGTGTCTCCCAGAACAGAGAGGAACAGAGTCAAGAGTCATGAGTCCCTGGGCTGCTGTCTGCTCCTCCTCAGAGACAGGAATACAAAGCCTCCTCCCTGGACACCCCTGCCAGGCACAGTCATGCTACCAGCGTTAGGGACAGCCCCGTCACCAACTTAAGGGAAGAGAAAGCAACCTGCTTGAAGGACTTCACCACAAAATACATATTTGATAGTTTCCTCACTCCTAAGTATCCCAGAATTTCTTTTCTTAACATGGGTATATTTTGGTGTAGATTTGTTGAGAAATTAACTAAGATAAACATAAAACTAGTTAAATATGAGTATTTTACAAACATGGTCCTTATCTTGCCCACCAAGTCACCTTGGTTTTGGGGACATTTGGAAGAGGAAACTTGCCAGCCTAAAGAAATCTCCAAGTAGTGGGATTTGGGGCCGTGCAAGGGAGTGGTCTATGAGGGGGGTGTGCAGGGGTAGGGAGTGGTTTACCTGCCTCTCTTTGGGTTACGGGAATCCTGCAGTCTCTAGAGGGGGCTTGGGAACCCCTTTACAGCCTTGGGCTACACCCCTGTCCCCAGCTGAATCCGGAAATGCTCTCCAGCTGGGCCCCCACTGCCAGCCCGGTTAGCTCCCTCCCAGTGGCTTTGACTTTGTTCCCAGGGCCTGTGACTCACTGGGAAACCTTGGCTCTGGTTCTCTGTTTCCTCAGCATTCAATGTGGACAATCCACCTTCGGTCTCAGCCAGGCTGTGCTCTGAGCAGCCCGCAGGGACCGGCTCTGGGGTCAGACCAGCAGTGCTGTGACTTGGCCTCTCTCCTCCCCAGCCACTGACTCAGCCCTGCGCCTGCACAACCACTGTGCAGTGTGCTCCTTGCGAGCCTGGGTCCCCAGCAGACAACACGGATGTGTATTGGTGTGCATGCCTCTGTGTGTGTGTGTGTGTGTATAAATCATGGCCAGGAAATTCACACATCATACGAGCATACGCTGTCAAAGAGTCTACTTGGGCATATATTGCAGGCTAAGTTAAATCATTTAATGCAACAGATAAGCTCATGAATGCCTAAGAACAGCGGGGTGAGAATGAGACATTTTTGGAATATCTTTTCTTTCTCTCCTTTCTTGACCCTGTTGCTTTTCCCCTCTTTTCTCTCTGCAGCCTCCCTAAAACCCTAATTCTCACTGGCGTTTCTAGGTCTTCACAGTGTTTTTTTCCTCCCCCTTTTTATTTTTTCAACCAAATTTCTGTTTTAAAATATCCAGAAGTCACACATCTGATTGTGCTGAGTTTCCCCCCCAAGTAAGTAGATGGCAGAGAGAGTCTGACTCTGTCGTGTCAGTTTCCCTTGGATGATATATTTAATACTTTCAAATAACATTCCAGAGAATCGTGGCATTTTCCCACTGAGTTAGATTCCATATTTAGCCATGAGAGTTGCTTTGGGTTTATGCTGGAGCTTTTCTGCTAACGTTTTCTTTATTTTTCTATGACATCCTCAATATCATCAACAATTTTCTCTCTTCCAAAGATGCTGCTGCTGATGGTGCCACCATTTCTTGGAAGGAAAATTTTGATTCGGCTTATACTGAGCTGAATGAAATTGGAAGGTAATGACACAGTGTTCTCTGCCTTCGTTCATAAGTATGTAGCAACAGCACAACAGAGCAATGACTTATTTTTGTAATTGTTTCTTTTATAGTTTTATTCTCTCTATAGTATGAAAATGATGAGAATATTTATGTGTACTTCCTACTTCTTTTTCTAACTTCTTAACTTGGGTGCTTCATTCATCAACTCTCTGCCTTTATTCTTTTCTAACATAAGAATTGATGGATCAAAATGTTCTTCACAGTACAATTTTAGCCATATTTTCTAAGTCTTGATATATGGTATTTTCATTATTATTGAGTTCTATATATGTTTTCTTCAACTATGAATTTTTCTATGACCCACTTATAATGGAAAAATGTTTTAAGATGTATGAGATTTTTTAATGTATGAGATTCTTAAAAGTATCTTTTTGTTACTGATTTCTACCTTAATTTGCATTGTGGTCAGAGAACTTAGTCTATATGATATTGATTCCCTGATTTTTGTTGGGACTTCCTCTATGAGTAGTCCGTGGTCAATTTTTGTTAAAAGTTCCACTTTTTACAAGAGTTCTACATCTTGAGAAGAATGTATAGTCATTAATTGTTGGGTATACCCCTCTACGTATGTCCATGTGTCAAGCACATCAATTGTTTTGTGAGTATTTCCAATCTATGCCCCCCACATATATACGTGCATATGGTACTTCTCTCACTCTCTCTCTCTCTCTTTCTCTATGCCTACCCCTCTCTTTTGGTTAGTGCACCCTCAAAAATAAACAGAATAAAAATATGACTTTCAACAGAAAAATGAAAAAAAATCTATCACCTGGCCCACAAAATAGTTGATGGGAGAGAAACAAAAGGGGTTCATTCCTGTGCATGCATTGGTCTCCATTTGGTCTGGGTGAGAAATGTGTGTTGACCTTACAAGTTGCCCACTCAGCCTGGAAGGAGAAATGAAAGAGAACCTGCTAACAAGGGGCCATTGGCATCATCTGGATCTCTGGTTGGCGTCTCTAAATGAAGCATAAAATCTCCTAAGTATAGTGGTTGTAACAAGAGATTGTGGGAGGAAGCCAGAATGTTCATTATTTCTGTTTCTTATGCAGGAGTCACAATGTAATTTCATTACAGTATCTTTCATCAAAAACAAACTTTAGCTCTACTTTCCTGTCTTCTTTGTGTAGCCAAACAAACAAACAAAGGCCAAAGGAAATGTATGTGATGATGATGCTGTTTATCTCTGAGCATCTGTAGTGTTCCATGTCCTATGCATGTACTATACAAACAGTATTTAATCTAATCCTTTTAACACTGTGAGGTAGTGTTTGAGTATATTTTCAGTAAAGGAAACTCAGGCTCAGGGAAGTTCAGTAATTCCCTCAAGGTCCCACAACTAGTAAGTGTACAGCCAGGATTCAAATTCTGGGCTCCACAACTCTAAGCCTGTCTTTGTTTTACTAGTATCTGTCATTTCTCATCATAACAATTATTGTCAAAAATAAGTCTAGTAATTGAAATCTAGTTTGCTGTTATATTAAAGTTTGTGAAGCTAGATATGAGCCTAATAATGAGCAAACCAAATCACCGGCTGGTTCTAAATGAAGCTGGTTCTGTCACCTAGATGCCCCAGGTAGTTCCTCCCTCAAACATGTGTTTGCTGTTGTTAGCCATAGGCATGTTTTGGCAGAATAGATGGATGTTCTGCTGTTTCTCAAAGGGGAGATCAATCTGATTCAAAGTAATCAATAGTTGTTTTCTTAAAAAAGAAAAAAAAAAAACCTCATCACCAAGAGCCTGAAGCTTTTTTCTCTCCTAAGAATAATTCTCATATTTTCAGAAGATCTTTCAAAATGTTATACATTAGCATAATAGAAATAAAACATGGAGATTCTTACATGAGACACATGAAATATTTCTGTGCTAGGGCCATACAAGTGAGTCAGCTTTCGCCAGCATGAACAGCTGTGGACACAGCTGGTGCCTGGAAGCCCTTTCAGCAGTGTCCGGCTTTGCTTTTGATGAGTATCTACTTTTCAGGAGGCAGTACAACTTTTGGCCACACAACATCTCAACGTTCAGTGTGCTGGCTGCAGGGGGAGTGGAGGCCATTTTGTCAGGCACAGCGAGTCTCTGTTCCTTCCCGAGACTCAGCATTTCCAAAGCACCAAAGCTCCGTGACCCCACCCACACTTTTAAAATCCACCCTCTAAAATGTTTCCCCAAGAAGTAGGAAGCTCCTCTCTTGACCATGTCTGTTGACATGATCTGGGAAAGAGGGCGAGAAGCCGCGTGGACGCATCACTCTCTGGGATGTCAGAGTGTCCTTGGAAGAGTCCTAATTAAAGACTCAAAATGATTGACAGGTGGTGGAAGCATGAGGAAGTGCACTTGACATGCAGCAGAAGTTAGTGTCTGGGTGGCAAAAAAAGAAAAAGAAAAGCAATTGAGAGAGAAAAAAAAAAACTTTTTCCAGCATGCCTAAACCTAGAATCCTGGGCCTACATGACTCTCCTGTTAAAAAGAGCTCTCCAGTGATTAAATATTATAAAAACCATGGTGATAGAAGGAACATCTTCACTTCTACAGCACATGAATAAAAGGAAAGAACACGTGAGCATGGCATATTTAACTGGCATATTTAACATGGCATAATAAACTACATAGGTGCCAGTGCAGTTTAAAGAAGCCAGGGGCATATTGTCCCTGGGAATGCTGACTGGCTGCCTGTACAGAACCCAAAAAGGTAGCAGTGTTGGGCCCCTGGTTAAAAGTGTGGCAGGTATCTGGCATCTGTTGGCAGATAACACACTTGCCTATTTTCACTCCCTCCTAGACGTCATTAAACTACAATAGAGGGCCAGATGCAGTGGCTCAGGTCTATAATCCCTGCAATCTGGGAGGCTGACGCAGGAGGATTGCTTGAGCCCAGGAGTTGAAGTTGCTGTGAGCTAGGCTGATGCCACTGCACTCTAGCCCAGGTGACACACGGAGACTCTGTCTCCAAAAACAAAAAACAACAAAAAACCATAACAGAGGAAGTTTTTTAAGTAGGCACATAAGGATGAGGACATTGGAAGAAGAGACAACAATAAAGTATTAGAAGGAAAAAACACAAATGAAAGAGGGAGAAATGACCAGGAGACCTGTGTCAGCCATGGGATCAAATGAGGGGCTGTATACATTTGCAGCAGAATTCCCCAAAGCTCAAGTATGGGCAGCATCAGGTACCTCTGGAGTAGCTAGAAAGAGGATGCTAAAATTGGAAGGGCTGGCTGAAAGTGTTTGAGAAGTTCCGTCTCAGGAGAGAGTGAAAACAGATGCCTGTGTGCAGCCCGCCATCCTTACCTAGAGGCCCGGGACTGCTACCTTTTTAGAGCCTACACAGGCAACCAGTTGGCATTCCCAAGGGGTAGGCTGTGGCTCCGGAGCTCCTCCCCAGCTTCAGGCATCTGTACGGTTGTCCTCCTCCACCCAGGGTAACACTGGAGTTTTCTTTTCTTGAAAGGGTAAAATGGTGCATCTCTGTCCTTGGGGACAGCAGGCACAGTCGAGGGGGTTGAACCGCACTAAAAACGGGAACATTATGAGAGTGTATGCATGCTGGAGACTGAGAACCCCAGTGCTCTCATCCACCCGCCCTCCGAAGTAACAACCAGGGCTTTACCCTCTAGGCAGAAAGTAGGAGGCTCTGGCCAGCCCAAGAGGAAAGACTTAGAGATACTAATTACAGAGCTTCCCCAAGTAAATAGTCCAGTCCAATCACCCTAAAGTAAAAGTTGACAGGCTCTGCCCATGCACTCGGAGCTTCCAAGTAGCTTTTTATTAATAGCCTTGAACTTTTAAAATGAGCCAAGCCCCAGTGCCAGCCCAGATGGAGTAAGGCCACTGTCGCCTTTGTCTCCCACCGGTTACAACTAGAGTCCCCGGACAAAAAACAAAAAGCAGTTACCTGAGGATTCTGAAAAGTAAATAACAGGAGGATTGGAGAGGGAAGTCAAGACCTGAAGAATGACAAAGACAGTGGCAGTGAGATTTCTGTTCGTTTTTGTTTTTTTTTTTCTTTCATTCTTCTTTATCTCCCCAGCTTGGACTCAAGCATGGGCCAAATCAGAGAGCTGTGCAGCGTGCACAGAGAGCCAAAACTCCAAGGAAAACCCACGTTTCTGACCAAAGGACAGGGTAAAGGGGTCCTCCCTTTGTGCTGGAAAGAGCAGAGAAATTCCTGCGTTTTTTCTTTCTCTCTCTCTTTTCTCTCACTGCTTCACCCCAAGGGCAGTCATGTGAACTGCCTGATGGTGCAGGAAGCTAAAACGCTGAGGCAATTCCATATTCTTGGCCAGACAACCACAAGAAGTAGGCCGAGGAGTCAAATAACGTGGGGGAAATCCCAGTGGGGAGAAAGCAAAAGAAGGGGATCCCCTAATTCGGAAACAGCACAAATCCTGGGGCACTTATAAATGTGTGCATGTACAAGACACACACAAAGCAATACAGCAAGGCTTGGAGAACTGAACTACAATATTACCCACTGCTCAGTCACCCTGCAGTGACTGATTAGTCCCAGACCAAACTTTGAGTGGTGCTGATGAGGAGCAGCCCTAAACACGGTAGCAAATAGTTTGAAAACTGAACTGACAATAGAACCACCTCCCACAGAAGGTGAGACAGAACTTGTAGTCTGACTCTTACCAGGTTGATTGCCGACTAAAACATACAAATAAACAAAAAAAATCATTTCAGAGGATTTTAACAGGACCACAGTCTTATAGCATAATATCAAATGTTCAGGATTATTCCACATAACAAAAATCAGAAAAATCTGAAGAGTTCTCAGGTTAAAAAAATCAATCAACAGATACCAGCTCTGAGATGATTCAGATGTTGGAATTATTACACAAAGAGTGTCAAACAGCTATTATAACCATCTCCATGAAGGAGAAAAAGGTGATCACTCTGGAAATGGACAGAAAGATACAAGTACACAGAAAAGAAAAAGAAATTATTTTTTTAAGTGGCAATTGTATAACTAAAAAATACAATATCTGAAATTTAAAAATTTATTGGATATTCACACCTATAGTCCTAGCACTCTGGGAGGTCTAGGTGGGAGGATTGCTTGAGGTTAGAGTTTGAGACCAGCCCGAGAAAAAGCAAAAACCCGTCTCTACAGAAAATAGAAAAATTAGCTGGGTATGGTGTTGCGTGCCTGTAGACATGGCCACTTGGGAGGCTGAGGCAGGAGGAGGACCCCTTGAGCCCAGGAGTTTGAGGTTGCAGTTAGCTATGATGACACCACTGTACTCTAACCTGGATGACAGAGGGAGACTGTCTCAAAAAAGACTGGATGGGCTCAACAGCAGAATTTGAGATGATGGAGGAGTCAGTGAAATCAAAGATAGAGAAATGTAAATTATACAACTTAAAGAGAAGAGAGAAAAATATTTTTAAAATATTAAACATAACCCCAGAGACCTATGGGAAAATATCAAAAGGTCTAACACTCATGTCATTTTGGAACTCCTGTGGGAGAGGGGAAAGTGATTGGTGCAGAAAAAAATTTTGAAGACATACTGGCTGAAAATGTTCCAATCTGATGAAAGACATACATTTGTAAGGAAGCTCAGTGACCTAAGGAGGATAAACAGAAAGACCCATGCCCAGACACATTATAATCAAATTGCTGAAAACCAACATATACAAAACAAAAATCTTGAAAGCAGCAAGAGGAAAAATAACACATTATATTTAGGGGTAACAGTGGCTTGAATGACTGCAGATTTCTTGTCAGAATCCATGAAGGCTAGATGACCACAGAGCCGCCGGAGCCACAGTGCTGAAAGAAAAGACCTGGCAACCATGAATTCTACATCTAGCAGAAGTATCCTTCAGGAGTAAAGGTGAAATAAATGAGTCAGGCTGGGCGCAGTGGCTCACGCCTGTAATCCTAACACTCTGGGATGCCAAGGTGGGCGGATCGCTCGAGGTCAGGAGTTCGAAACCAGCCTGAGCAAGAGCAAGACCCCTGTCTCTACTATAAATAGAAAGAGATTAATTGGCCAACTAATATATATAGAAAAAATTAGCCAGGCATGGTGGCGTGTGCCTGTAGTCCCAGCTACTCGGGAGGCCCAGGCAGGAGGATTGCTCGAGACCAGGAGTTTGAGGTTGCTGTGAGCTAGGCTGATGCCATGGCACTCACTTGAGCCTGGGCAACAAAGCCAGACTCTGTCTCAAAAAAAAAAAAAAAAGAAAGAAAGAACAAATGAGTCAGCTACTACGAATTTCTGAACAGTGGAGGAAAATCTCTAAAATGGGAGATAGCACACAGAACAAAAATAAGAAATTTTTGAAAGGAAACAGACTGTGCAGTAAAAGACTTCCAAAAACTCTCATTAATATCCTTACAGACTAGACAGTCCAATTTGAAAAACAGAAGTTCCAGAAAGAATAGAAAAGATAAAACAGAGATAAAGGAATTACTTCTAGAAAATAAAATAGTTTCAGAATGAAAAGATATGAGCACATAAGAGCTCAACCTAGTGTATGAAAATAGACCCACATCACGGCAAATCATTGTGAAATTTCTCAACGCTGAGGAAAGGAGAAGGGCCTACCAACTTTCTATGAGGAGAAAGGGTCATATAAAAAAGTTAGGAACCATCATGCTGTGGACATTAACAGTTAACATCATCAGTAACACCCGAGGTTGGAAGGCAATAGCATAATTCTTTCAAAATTGTGAACGAAGAATTTTCCCGACTGAATTATACTCAGCTAAACTAACAACTAAGTACAAAGATAGAACAAGTGCAAATGATCAGATATGCAAGTCTCAAACAATTTGTTTCCCATGGACTCTTTGTCAGAAATGACTGGAGAATGCATTCCACCACAAAAAGCAAAAGTACTCATACTTTACTAGCTCAGCTGTGAATAGTACTGACACAATTGCAGTCATGTAAACACTGAATATGGATTATAATATAATTGTGTGGGGAGGATAGGGGCTGGAGAAAGTGGGTATTTGGTAGGGACAAAGGGAGAGAAAAGGTTAAAATCTCATCTTCCATAACGGGATGTCAACAGATAATAACTAAAATTGAAAAATCAAGAAGTAGCCACAAAAAAACATCCTATTTAGAGTCATATAAGTAAATATCTCAACAATCTGCTAAACTATATTAAAGTGATATATTAAAATTAAACTGCCTCTATGGGAGGAAAAACAGGGATGAGTAGGAGGATGGAATACATTTTTCTGAAAAATAACAAACCTGTAACGCTAACTGAGTTAATTGAAACCATGAGAGTGTATAACTTTCATAAATACAAACTTTTTTTAATTAAGCTAGCAGTAACTTGACATCGCCACTAAGTTTAGGAGAGCTATCCTCAGCATTCTGCTGTCTTCATGCATCCAAAGTCCCCTGGAAGGAGTAATAATCAACTCACAAGAGAGTGATGATGTTAAATAGAACTGCCAGTTTGACCAAATACTTGTTTATTATGCCAAGAATGATGTCTGGTATATAATAGTCATTCAATGAATACTTGTCTAATATTTGCTTTACTGATTAGCACTTTCTTTTCTTTCATGCAGATCTATAGTGGAATAAAAGTAGGTTGGGCGCAGTGGCTCTTGCCTGTAATCCCAGCACTTTGGGAGGCTGAGGCAGGAGGATCACTTGAGGCCAGGAGGTCTAGACCAGTCTGGGCAACATAGTGAGGCCCAGTCTCTACAAAAAATTTTTTTAAACATTAGCCAGCTGTGGCGGTGCATGCCTGCAGTCCTAGCTACTTGAGAGGCTGAAGTAGGATAGCTTGAGCCCAGGAGTTCCAGGATGCAGTGAATGATGATTGTGCCACTGCACTCCAGCCTGGGCAACAGAAGTGTGACCCTATCTCTAAAAAAATTTTTTTAAATGTATTATTAGAAAATTGGTCAGTGAGCATATAGCCAGGTCAAGGAGTCAGTTGGATGATGGTAGTGGTGGCTATGATGCGCCCATTTCTGTTGGCGGAATGGGCTGGTCTCTAGACTGTTCACTCCTCTGCTCATGGGCTAGGACACCTCATGGACAGGGCTTGGATGGCACTGCCATGTCACCTTGTTGACTCTCTGTTTGTCTGCTTCCATTGCTGACAAGTGCCACTTCTACTTAGCTCTCTTACCATAATACTTTCCACAGGGTTGCATTTGGGAACCATTCTATCTCAGGGGTGGGTAATTTTGTGGGTGGTTATATATTTGTAAGTGTTTTTGCCAGTTGAGGATGCAAACTGAAGTATTTATGAATGAAATGACATGATATCTGGATTTTGCTGAAAATACTCCAGAAATAAAAGCAGGAGGTAGAAAAGGAATAGATGAAACAAGATTGATAAGACGCTGATAATTAGTAAAGCTAGCTGCATGGGAAATCTATTCTGCTATTCTCTTTATTTTTGTGTATGTTAGAAATTTTCCATAATAAAAATATAATAAACATAAAATGAGAAAATTGACTCTTTAAAATGTTTTTAAACTATCATTGAGTAGAACTTCTTTTTTAATGTTGTTGTTTTTATTGTTGTATTTTATACAAATATATATTCTGCTTAGAAAAGAAAACTGAACCTGTGGTTGATGTTCAAAATGACAGAGAAATATATTGCCTAAAAATCATATTTGTTAGCTTTTTGTAACTCAAAGAACCCTAAAATGCTAAAGAAGGAAAAATGGGTTTTTTTGAATGATAACATTATAATTTAAAATATAGGAGAGTAGGATTCCTAATAAAATGCTACTGTTTGACCGCTTCACACAAAACTTCACACATCTGTGGGTAAAATGACACCTAGTTGATTGATAAATGTTGGAAAACTCTTTCTCCCTTTTGTTTTTCCAGAGGCCGTTTCTCAATAGTAAAGAAATGCATTCACAAAGCCACCCGCAAAGACGTGGCTGTGAAATTCGTCAGCAAAAAGATGAAGAAGAAGGAGCAGGCTGCCCACGAGGCCGCCCTGCTCCAGCACCTGCAGCACCCCCAGTACATTACTCTCCACGACACCTACGAGTCCCCCACGTCCTACATCCTGATTTTGGAACTGTAAGTACAGGTGACGTCATTCTAAGGTCGTCCCCATCTGTTTAGGTTATCTCTTGCCCACAATTAATGCAAAAGGCAGTTAACTTTTATACAGTGTCCTATAGTTTACAAAGGGCTGTATGTAACAGGCAGCCTCTCCCCCATTTAATAATAAATGTTATTCTCATTTTATAGAATAGAAAATCAACAACAAAGAAAGTCTTTAAAACTAGCTCCTTAAATCTAGGAAGTGGAGAAGCTGGGACTTGAACCCATATCTCTGTCACTCCAATTTTAATTTTCTTTCCACTATGGACTTGGGCTGGGCAGGCATTTAGGAAGAGCATATGGACAGTAGGCTGATTAACAGAGTGGAGCTGAGATGAAAGAGAGGGGTCTGTACACCAATCTGCTGCCATAGCATCCCCAGTCTAGCACCCAAGAAATTCCTTGTAGGGGAGAATCTGACCTTCAAAACATTCCACTCATTCCAGGTTTTCTAGAGGCTTAGGCAACCATATATTTGGCCCCTGGAATAGATCAAATAGAGCAATACTGTCATTTTCCCCACTGCCACCCTAGTCTAAGAATAGACAGCATGCTCTGTGGTTTAGAGAAATCTTACAGAGGCTAAAGAAAATAGTCCTTTCAGAAGTAATAGAAATCACATAGAAATATGTTATCAGATTGGCAGTATGAGGCCCTTGGCCTAAGCAGCAGACAGACATTTCCACCAAAGACCAATGCTGTATACGGCTCCACGGGAACCAATATTCAGTAGAGAAGCGCCTGCATTGTCCTCCTTTCAACTGTCATTTTAGTCTTGCTCTTGTGTGCTTGTTGGCCTAGGTGTGTGTGTAAGGGGGGTCTTTGAAGCAGTAATTCAGCATACATTTATTTATGACAAAAAAAGAAAGCTGAAATGCAAACAACTTTGGCTATGTTTCTAAATAGTTTGAAAAAAAAAAAACCAAGCGGGGATAAAGCAGCAGCGTTCGCATGTAACTTAACTTTACGTAGCTGTGTGGTAGTTGGTAGTTTGTCACTTAGGACTTAAACAGATTTACAGTCTTTCAGAGCCTAACCTGTTTAATGGGAGCTTACTAACTCAAAAGGCATATTCTATTGCCCTTGAACTCTCCTTGTCTACAAGAGGCAACTCCTATGCTTGGGTTCCAATAACAGTTATTGTGACTTCGTACCAAGATGGTCCAGAAGAGCAGAACCTTTCCCCTTCGGACTTGCTGACTGCTGTTCTGAGGGGAGGTATTATCAGTCTGCCACAGCGCGCTGGAAAGAAGCTGTTCTTGGAAAGAAGAATCCAGGCTCACATCCCAGCTCTGTGATTTGAAGTGAAATACTTAGTTTCCTGGGCCCCACAGTTCTCATCTGTGAAGACTGAAGAATTCCTCCAAATTCTCAGAGATGCTGTGGATTGATGAATATCGGGTTGAACTAGTTTAGCAAACATTTACTGAGCACTCAGGGCGCACCAACCCCTGTGCAGACTGGGGCCAGGGCGGGGGAAACAAGAGGGAAAAGATATTGTTCTTGTCCTTGAGGAGTTATAGTGAGGAAGACCCGTAGATGACTGGATGATTTCAATATAGTATGGTAAATACTAAGAAATAAATGCGTGCACTGGCGAGGGTTGCTGTGAGAACGTTAAAAGGTTGGACTTGGGGTTCAGGGAAGGTTTGTGGAGAGGCAGTGCCTGAGCTAAACCGCGTGCTGAATGCTGTTACGCTGTGACTGGGAACCTCCTCTTCAGCGGCCACTAGAGTTGCTGGTAGAGCTTTTCTCTACCAGGCAACTGAGATTCCGATTCCCTGCCTGAGGTGGGATGTGGGCATCCGCATTATCCAAAAGCTCTAACCTTGAACTTGGTGGCTAAGCTTCTGATCTTGGAGCAGTGTTACTGTTATTTAATAATTTCTCCCTTCATCACCTTCATCACTCCAAGAAGTTCAGGGGAACACATTTAACAAGCTCAATCCTACGCCACTCCACTCTGACCACTCCTACCCCACGCCCAGCACGGCCAGAGGAAGGCAGAGGGTCCTGCATCAGTCCTGGCCTTTGCTCCTGCCAAGGAAAGCAGGAGAGACCAGTGGAAGGAACAAGCAAGAGGAGAAAAAGGAAACTTGCCCATGGGAGATTTCAACTGTGATGGAAAGTAATTTCTGACCCTGGATCTAGCTCCCCTGCTGGGCATTCCATGGGGTTGTGCCTTTAACAGCCCAATGCCCATGAAAGAAAAACTTCCTGACATTTGGTAACTCCTTGTTGTAAGAGGGCACAGGGTGCCTAAAAATAGATACCATTTATTTAGCACTTACTTATGCTCTCTATTATGCTTAAATGCGTCATTGTCTCTCTGATCCTTGCATAATCCTCATAATGAAGTAAGTATTATTATTATTATTTTGTTGTTGTTGATTCCACTTTAAAGATGGTTCACTTCAAGGCAAACTAAACACAGAGTTCAAATATCTTTCAAATCTGGGTCTGGCTGGCTCTATGTAGTGCCATGTTCTCAATCACAGTCTTTGAGGCTGGAAAAGTTGCCCAGAAGGCAAAGGATTCAAACAAGGATCAAGAATGTCAAGGACAAACTTTGCCTACTTTTTGTTTTCCCCACTTAAAAATTGACAAATGAAACTATTTTGGAAAACACATGTGGGGCTGCTCGCAGCCTCTAGGTTATGGTTAATCACATATCGCTAAAGTCTCTTGGTGAAGGCTTTTTTTTATTTATCAATCTAACCTCTTAAATGGGTGTCAGACCTTTCTCCTTGTGAGCAATTTTAAAAGTTAACAAAACAGAATGTTTCTTAAACAAGGTTATACAGATTTCTTCTCTGAAATACACCACATTTGTAAATATATTTATTTTAGTTTGAGCATTACACTAAGTTTGGGCTCTAACTAAAATAAACATGTGTTGCAACATTGATCTTCATTTGTAACAGGGAGTAAGAGAAATCTTAGAGATCCTACTGACTTGTACATGTGCTATTCTGTTTCTTCACAAATGTAGTTCCTTTGCCTTTTCCTCCCCTACTTTTAGGATGGATGATGGCCGGCTCTTAGACTACCTTATGAATCACGATGAATTGATGGAGGAAAAAGTAGCTTTCTACATCCGAGACATCATGGAAGCTCTGCAGTACCTTCACAACTGCAGGGTTGCACACTTGGACATAAAGGTAATAAGAAATAGCAACCCCTGCAGGGAAACAGCTAAGTCCAATTTACTGGTCATTACCTCTGAGGAACGTAAATTTGCATTCATTTTATTTAGAATCCTTATGGCTATTAAACAGAAACTAGGTTGTCACACAATTTAAGTTCGTTATTCATGAATTAACGAGAACATACCAGAGTCACAATGACACCTGGTGTGAGAGAAGGTAAGGAAGCTTTAGCTACCTAATCTAACTTTATAGAAGGAAGCCTATAAATGTCACCTTCTCTTTTGTGCTGCTCAAAAGGGAGCCCTTGGGCCGGGCGCGGTGGCTCACGCCTGTAATCCTAGCACTCTGGGAGGCCGAGGCGGGCAGATTGCTCGAGGTCAGGCTTTCGAAACCAGCCTGAGCAAGAGCGAGACCCCGTCTCTACTATAAATAAAAAGAAACTAATTGGCCAACTAATATATATAGAAAAAATTAGCCGGGCATGGTGGCACATGCCTGTGGTCCCAGCTACTCGGGAGGCTGAGGCAGGAGGATCGCCTGAGCCCAGGAGTTTGAGGTTGCTGTGAGCTAGGCTGAAGCCACGGCACTCACTCTAGCCTGGGCAACAAAGTGAGACAAAAAAAAAAAAAAAAAAAGGGCAAAAAAAAAAAGGGAGCCGTTGTTCTCCAAAATGAATAATTTATTCTTTTCTGGATTCAATGCAGAAGCAAAGCATAGTTAGGAAGACATGGTTTTCAATGTCAAACAGCTTCTCTGAAGTACCACCCAAACTCAGAGTGTAGTGAGTTCAAACTGTTAGTTTGAAGCCTCGTAAGCACTTTGCATAGGGAATTTTCCATATGCTGTAGGGAAGGCTATAGCAGAACCATGTTTGAATTAACAGAATCCTACTGGTAGTGAAAACAGAGAATTCATCTTCTCTTCTCCCTGCCTCCTTGGATCTCTGCAGCCTGAAAACCTGCTCATTGACCTACGGATTCCAGTGCCTCGTGTGAAGCTCATCGACTTGGAGGATGCCGTCCAGATCTCGGGCCACTTCCACATCCACCACCTACTGGGGAACCCCGAGTTTGCTGCCCCAGAAGTGATCCAAGGCATCCCTGTCTCCCTGGGCACAGACATCTGGAGCATTGGGGTCCTGACGTATGTCATGCTGAGTGGGGTCTCCCCCTTCTTGGATGAGAGCAAAGAGGAGACATGTATCAATGTATGCAGGGTGGATTTCAGCTTTCCCCATGAATACTTCTGTGGCGTGAGCAATGCCGCCAGAGATTTCATCAATGTGATCTTACAGGAAGACTTTCGGAGGCGGCCCACGGCGGCCACTTGCCTACAGCATCCATGGCTGCAGCCCCACAATGGCAGCTACTCCAAGATCCCCCTGGACACCTCCCGCCTGGCGTGCTTCATAGAACGCCGCAAGCACCAGAATGACGTGCGGCCTGTTCCCAATGTCAAGAGCTATATTGTCAACCGGGTGAACCAAGGGACGTAGCCATCTCCCAGCCCCTGAGGTTTCACATACAAGTACAGTGTGAACCAAAGCAAGACTGAATGTGTCTGTAAATAACTGTGTTCATTATTTCACTCCACGTGGTTCTCTGGACTGAGCGATGTACCTCTCAAACCTCTTCATTGGTTATTCAGGGTCTGAGCAGCAGTAAAAGTCACCCTAAATTCAGGGGCTTTCCAGAAGGTCATTCTGAAGAAATAAAGATGCAGAGAGTCACAGGAAGTATTGAAAAGAAGGGCAAGGATACCAATAATATTAGCTGTTGTAAAATTTTAATTGTATGTTCAAAAATGAGTGGTTAACTGGGAAAACCTTTAGCTCTCTCTAGTGAGTATAAAAGATTTCCCACCTTTGCTGAAATTTTAAACAAAAGTTCTATTTAACAGAGATGTCATGGATGTCAACCATTCTGGTTTAGATGACTTATAGTTTCTTAACAGGATACATATACACATACAGTATAATATATCCCATGCAGGTTTCAGAGTTTTATAATACAGAGATATATATTAAATCAATCATAAGTAACTTTGAGTGCTCCAGTTAAGACAGTAATTTATTTACCAAAACATTACATTGTTTTGACTAAGCACAATTAGATGACAAGTTTTTTAGAGCATTTTATAAATCTTGTATAGAATCTTTTACCAGAACCTGTGCATTAAGAGAAAGCAATGTTACCCTTTTGCCATCTGTGATTGAGAAGATTTTTTTCTGTCAGTCACAGGTTATTTGATTAAGATAGGTTCTGTATATGAAACGCTACTCCTGAACTCACTAGCAATTCAGAGTTAATCTGGCAAGAAAGCCTGCCAGAAAATAAGTTCAAATACAGTAAGAATTGTGGGGCTATTTTTGTGTCTACACCTGGTTGGAAATAGGTAAACAAATATAACAGGTTTATACAAAAGGGTAAGTAAAAAACTACAGTTGCTATCAACAAGGTACCATCACTTTCTGATTTCTTCTACAGCTATAGAATACAGTCTTCAGAAAGTTGGCTTGCTTTATTTCTAACTCCTTATTGAAGCTAAGGGGTGCTTACCAAAAGGAGGCAGCCATATAGGCCTTTTATGGGCCTGGTCCTAAGTCCTTTTTAAAGCCATGGAGCAAAACCTGATACACTACTCTCACAGAGCATCGAATTTTAACTGAGATCGCAATACCTACCACCACTCAGCCGCCAATATTTCTCTGGACTAAAAGGACTAATTGTACTTTGAGGCTAATGCTGCTTTCTGGTGGATATTCTCCATACAAGATTATTATTAACTGCCCTTTTTCCCTCTCGTGGAAAAAACAATTAAACCTGGGCATTTCATGGTTTTTCTTTTTGTTTTTGTTTGTTTTTTTGGGGGGGGGTTGTTTTTTGTGTTTGTACATGATCCATCCTTTGTTTTCCAGAATGTGTTTTGAAAATTGCTATTATGCAAATAATATTTTTAAAATGTAATTCAAGTGTTTGTTCAAATCAGGTTTAATGGCATTGCTTCTCTCCTACCATGGGATTGAGAAAATTTAAAATCATGCTGCACAGATGTGCAAGCAGAGTATTTATGAAGGCTAAATAGAACTGTAAGCCTATGTAAATGAAAAGAAATGGTGGAAACTAAGCCTGAACTTTAACACATAAAAACATTTATTCTCACAGTGGAAATGTAAAATGAAAAATACTCATCATTCTTTTCCATTGGTTTCAAAGTCAGCTTCCTCATTCTCCCTCCACCTCATCCTGTCCAAGATTATAGATTAATAAATTAGTAGAAAGTATAAGCAATAAGACTAGATAGCACTTAGTATTTTCGGAATTAACCAAATATGTAGAAACCGACTCCGACTGTATTTGTTTCCTAGTTTCTGAATGGCCTGGGTCATCAAGCCTCACTCCGTCAGAGCTCTCTCTTGACTCATCCTCCACAGTCTTCATTTGAATCATTATGTATGTACAAATGCTATATGATACAATATTTTAAGATTTTTAAACATATTTACTAAAAACCCTTTCAGTAAACATTTCTTCATTAAGGTATATAGCAGGAAAGAGGAAAGCCTGGTCCGTAGGGTTTGCCATGGGGTAGGCTGCAGGCCAAGCATTCCGGTGTCCATAAGGGATGGCCGGGCAAGTGCTGCTCTAGCCCCCATGCACGACTTGACTCAAGAGCCCCCTGCTGAGTCATTCTGAATTTTTATAATGAGCTGAGTTTCTACTCTGGAGGGACAGGGCCGAGGACACAGACCATGGCAGGAGAGCATTACTGATATCACGCTGTCGGGAGCACAGTGACAGAATGTCGGAGCTCAAGCTTTTTTGGCTTTGACATCAGAGCTGGGATGACCCAGATGTGGGGCTCCATGGAATCCGCCCAGGTACACATGTTGAGGAAATGAGAGGACAGGAGGGGAGGGACAGAGAAAAGTAGTATAATTTTGTTAACTAGAGCCAAAGTACAATCACGGGAATAGAAGGAACTTAATAGAGGCTCTAAGAGAAAGGAAGTACGTTTTATATAGTTTGATAACTGAAGAAAACTAATAGGGAGGCTCCCTGTCTGCAAAGCTCCTGGTCCCTCCCAACAGCGATGAGATACTGGTGTTGGTTCAAGAATTCTCCATGGCAAGTTGGAACTAACAAGGCATCCCAGAAGATGGGGCTGGGAAATGTACTTACGGTTGCTCTATGGGCAACTGTGTGAGGGAAGAAGGATCAGGAACTACTCTGTCCCTATTTTGTCAGACAGATTTATAACTTGGTAGTGGAGAAGAGAGGAAAGAAGAGAAAAGAGTCCACTTCTACTATAATTTTGGTAGTTCTTAGTGGGTGTGAACTTCCAGTTAAATAGAATAAACAAATAATGGTCAAAGCCACAGGTTTCTTGCTTGGCTTCTATTCCTTACATAGGGTTTGGGTTTCTTTGTTTTGCTTTGTGAGGGTGGGATGCAGAAAGAAAGAAAAGATCAGGGATAACCCATAATAACTTTTATGAAGTATAATGGCTTCCTGTATCTTTTACATTTGTTTCAAATTAAATAGATTTATATCCACTTACAGCTGAATGTGGTAAAAATTTTTAAGAAAAGAAATTGTTGAAGGTGTCCTTCAGATCTGTCTCAGCCATAAACAATCTTAGGGGGAGTAGAGGAAGCAGAGGAAAAAGCTGGTTTCACTGCTTTGTGGTTCACAAAGCCTTTATAAATAGTAGTGCCTTTCAGAGGGGAGGATGGGAGATAAAGAAGTTCATTGCATTTAGGTTTACTGATATTGCAGCATTTTTTCTTCATTTCAAAACATCTTTAAATGAAAACATCTGAATATAGTGTGGGACCAGGAATTCTTGAGTTTCAACCTCAGCTATTCCTGATTCATCTTTTCTTATAGAAAGTCTTTGTTTTTTCCTGCCCCAAATGTCCCATTGGTAAAATGGGAGTTGGGGGGAGGGAAAAAAGGGAGGACATTAATCTCACAGGAATGTTGGGAAATAACCTTGGTTGGGACATCTATAAAATACTTTGATTTTTTAAAAAGTGCTACACACTGCCAGTGCTAAGAATTTTATTGATAGTAACTTAGAACATTCCAGATTTTCAATATTCATATCTTTAGATACCATTTACAAACTCATAAGATTAAATCCTGTAAATTGCTTTCAATTGGAAGTACTAGGTGCTCTTTGTCTAAATGTTATTTGGTCTTATCCTATAAATTTTTATCATTTAAGAGCTTGTCTTTCTTAAAACAGAAAACAGTTAGGAAATCTGATGAAGTCTTACATCCATAAACTATTTTCTCCAGTATTTCTCACAGCAGATGGAAAGAGCAAGATGCCCTCCAATGCAATGGCTACCTTCTCTTCTCAAGCTTTATGCTCTGGAAAAATGGACTGAGAAGAACCCAAACAGCCACTTTCCTCACTGGGAGGGCAGAAGTGAGAATAAAACATCTTCCCATATGACAATTCATTTTTCACAGTCTCACAGGAATTATTATAAGAGGCAAATTAAAGGCACAGAAATGAATTGGACTATTGGTTTTTGGAGGAAAAACCTTGAATCTTTTTTTTTTAAAGATGGTTAAGTCTTTGGGAGTAGCATATTTGCTGTCCCATAATCTCCATGATTTAGTACCCATGAGTTAATCGTTACTTTTGTGTTGACTACGTGGAAGAGCATGGAAATTTAGATTTGGGAGAATATGAGGAAGCAAATATTATATAAACTAAATGGTGGTTATTTCTGTGCATTAACTAGAACTTTCTCCCATGCATCTGATAAAGGAGGAAGTATTTTGAATATAAGGGGTCTTTAAAATAAGCAAAAGTGCAAACTCGCCACGTCCTTATTCAGGGTGGCTGGTGAATTGTACTGGCTGAATATTGAGGAATATAGACCTTATTTCTTTCTCTCCTGGGTAGCATCTCTGTGGAGTCTGAGTTAGGCAAACACAGTATATGAGCTTTCAGTGGATTTATATTTGTAAAACCATACATGATTTTTCCTTGCTATTTAAACTCCAGGGATCATTTGGGAATGAATGACTACACCCACGGTGGGCTTAGGGAAGATAGAGCTCATACATGCTTCATCAAGATAAGGAAAACTACTATATTAATATTTATTTTCTAGAAACAATAAGGCTCTCAGTTGTTTCATTAATTCTAGAGGGTTAAAAAGGGCTGAAATTTGTTCATAGCACTAGATATTTTTAATAGGAAATATTATCCACATGAAAATTTATACAGAAATAGAAGACAGAAATATCATGGGGCCATATTTTCTATAAAAAGCATTTCTTCCTCATTTTTAGTACATATAGAAGTTAGAGGAGGGGGAAAAAAGCAATCACTCTAAGACAACTTTTCATTTTTAAGGGACATTACAGAAAGCCTGAAATTAATACTCATAGGTTATTGTGTTTTCCTGTCTGCCTGTTTGCTGGGAAATTCTAAAATTTGGTCAGATTTAGTTTTTATTCAAATGATCAAGATAACAGTTTAGTTTGATAACTTATTTCAGATAGTGAGGTTAACTGAGAAAGGGGGGAGTGGAAGGAAAAGTGCAAATGACAATTTTTGGAATGCCAATTCCTGAGGCTTTGTTTAACCAGGCTAATTTGCTAGCCCAGGATAGCCAGTTTAGGGGTTCCATCAATACCTAGCTTTCATCAAGAACTGAATCCATGTTAGAGTATTATGGAGACTGTTACTGTGACCTCAAAGACTGTGGCTATGAATTTGAAATTAACATACGTCTTCTCTTACTAACTTAAGCCATATCTGTCATCTCTCTGTTTGATTTTTTTGACCCTGGTGCTTTTACCTCTTGTTTCTGCCAAACTTCAGCCTACTCTATGGGGAAAGTGAGTAAAACTAGTAGTCAGGACAAATATGAAGACTGTGAAAAAACTAAACATACTCTTCAGAATGAGATCCTATTCAGAGAACAGCAGTGATCAATTACAAACTGTTGGAAAATATGGATATATGTACTTCTGTACATGTATATAGTGTATAATATGTATGTATATGTTATTGCTCATATGCAGAAATCTATCCATTTGCAGACAGCCCAGGTGGGACAATTTTTCTATTGGAAAACCATTTAGGGCCATTCAAAACCATTAGGGCTAATTTGTGGAGAACAATTCTACTCGTCTGAGAATTAATTTGCTGTCTTTTGCAGACCACAAAGCAAGTGTGAAACACTATAGGGCCATCATTTAGGTTATTCTGTTTATCTGGACTTAGAACTATCTTTATATTAAAATTATTAACAGTTGGTTTGCAAACTGTATTGGCATCTCTTGGTTTTGAGTGACCTCTTCCCCACTCAAGTCTTTTGAGAATTTGGGATGGGCTTCTCTGGCCATTCAGATAAAGGGCCTTATCCATAAGTGGACAGGTTTCCCCATAGGGACCATTACACATATACATATAAATACATACTTCCATCAGGCTTGTAACAATTGATTTAAAATCACTCCACAGTATTGATAAATAGCTCTATATTTTCAAGGTGCAGAAGAATTCCACAGCCTTAATTATTTCAGTGTCTTGCTGGTCTGCCTTAAGTGTATCTTCTGGGTTTTTGATTGTTTTATTATTTCTAAATTTTCTGCAGTTGTTCATTTTGTATGCACACAATGTCGTTTTGTAAAGGTAGGTTGTAAATATTTTATTTGTAAGTCAAAATCATTCATGTGTAATGTTGTAAAGTGATGCCCTGCTGTCTTGTTATTATTACTACAGTAAATGTTATAAGTTATGGATGAAATTTCAAAATGTACATCTCACATGTTATGCATTCCTATAAATATACTATACTAAAGATAATATATTTGGTCGTCTTTTTTTCTCTTAATTAAAACCTTTGTTCAAGGAAAAGAGTAATTTTTTTCCTCTCTTCCCCCAAATATATGAAAGCCTTTGAGAAGGTAAAAGTATCCATTATCACTACAACACTTTTTGCCTAGCATTTTAGAAAGAAAGCAACAATTTAGTGCCCTGGAGCAGTGGTCCCCAACTTTTTTGGCAGCAGGGACCAGTTTCAAGGAAGACAATTTTTCCTCAGACTGGAGAGAGGCAGATGGTTTCAGGATGATTCAAGCACATTACATTTATTGCGCTTTTTATTTCTATTATCATTACATTATAATCTATAATGAAATAATTATACAACTCACCATAATGCAGAACCAACCAATGGGAGCCCTAGCTTGTTTTCCTGCAACTAGATGGTTCCATCTGGGGTGATGGGAGACAGTGACTGATGTGACAGGAGGCAGAGCTCAGGTGGTGATGCCAGTGATGGGGAGTAGCTGGAAATACAAATGAAGCTTGTTCCTTACAAACCAATACTGGTCTGTGGCTGGTGGCAGGGTTGGTGACAGCAGCCCTAGAGTACTCTAAGGCATTTCTCTATCCAAAAATGCCAAGGAAGCTTCAGGTTGTTAATTTCATTCTGGTGTTTTGGAATTTCATTCTGGTAACGTTGTTAGAATGTTTGGCAGGCCATTCGGGCTGGCTCTTACAAGTTTAGGCATTCTAGTGTGGACTCCAGGAATCTGGATTAGCCTATGCAGATGTGATGAGGCTTTGAAAGTCTGCATGTGCCATCCAAGTGCAAACAAGGCTGATTAATAATACACTGTCAAGTAGCCCAAGTGTTAGAGATTAAAGGGTTTTGATTAGCTTACTTTGCCAATAAGGACCAAAATGCCTTAATATTTGGCTTCTATTTCATTAAGATTTTATTGCATTCATTTGTTATGAGAAACACCTGTCAAAAGCATGGGCTCTTCATGTTGGCCATGCAGCATAATCTCTTCAGAGGAAACATAGACAATAAAGAAATACAGAAATGAAATCAGAATCAGTTTGATAAATTAAAATGAGCCCTATGGTTTTTGTTGGGGTTTTTTTTTTTTTTGAGATACAGAATTTTTAGCACCAATATAGCTTACAAAGCACATTTGTAATTACTATTTCATTTAATTCCAACAAATTCTTATAAAGTAACTTATGTTCTTTGGAGTAAAGACAACTGAGGGGGAAGAGAACTTAAAACAGATGTGTTTCAGTGTGTCTTTGTCTCTACACTGTATATTAAACAATAATAATTAAAAAATAGTATCTTAGCCTATATTTTTTTGAGGGGAAGTGGTTGAAAGGAATGACCAATACATTTATAGGAAATTAGTAAAAGCCCTAATACAGATGATAATCACAGCCTCAAGTTCAGCCTAAAATAATTATGACTTGCAGATGGAAGGGGTTCAGTGAGCAATACAGAACAAGGCCTATGGAAAGGATGAAGACTGAACTATTGCATAAAGTTTTACATTAAAGGAAACTCTTTAGGATAAAGAGAAATACCTAAACAACTAAGACTAAATATTGGTTAGAATCAAGATCCTCTACCCAGCCCAACTAAATGAAATGGAGAACACAAATGAATTGGTACAATCCGTATTACACTAGTTTTTTATAAAGTGTTTTTGAATAAGCTGAAGCTCACTGAATCCTCACAGTGATCTTTGAAGGAAGTTAATATTATTTTCTTCATTCCATTTTTGAGAAAACTGAAGCTGATATAACTTGAAATGCATCGCCAAAGATCACTCAGCCAGTAAATAGATCTGAGATTAAAACTCAAATGTTTTGATTTGAAACTCCATGTTTTTTTTAGTGCACTATACTGCTGTGCCTTTTGTTTTTTTAAAAAAATATTTTTGTTAATGTATTTTAGTTGACACATAATAATTGTACATATTTATGGGACACAGTGATATTTCAGTATATACAATGTGTAGTGATCAAATCAGGGTAATTAGTATACCCATTACCTCAAACATTTATCATTTCTTTGTATTGGGAACACTAAAAACCTGTCTTCTGGACAGGTGTGGTGGCTCATGTCTATAATCCTAGCACTTTGGAAGGCCGAGGCAGGAGGATTGTTTGAGGCCAGCAGTTCATGACCAGCCTGAGCAATGAAGCAAGACCCCATCTCTACAAAAATTTTAAAAAATTATCCAGGTGTGGTGGTGCACAGCTGTATTCCTAGCTACTCAGGAGGCTAAGCCAGGAGTTTGAGGCTTCAGTGAGCTGATTGGGCCACTGTATTCCAGCCTTGCTGACAGAGCAAGGGCCTGTCTCAAAAATAAATAAATAAATAACCTTGTCTTCTGGCTACTTGAAAATATGTAATAAATTATTGCTAACTATAGTCACCCTACAGTTCTATAGAATGCTAGAACTTGTTCCTCCTATCTAGCTGTAATTTTGCATTCTTTTTTAACCAACCTTTCTTGATCTCTCCTCCCTTTCCCAGCCTCTAGTAATTACTATTCTACTCTTTACTTCTATGGATCAACTTTTTTAGAATCCACATATAAGTGAGAACATGCAGGATTCATCTTTCTGTTCCTGGCTTATTTCACTTAACATAATGTCCTCCAGTCTCATCCATGTTGTCACAAATGACAGAATTTCATTCATTTTTAATGTAAGCCCTAGGGTTACAAGGGTTATTTTCCTTAAAGTAGGCTAGATTAAAGTATTGCCTTCTATACCTAATGGAGAACTTCTCTACTTTAAGGGATTTGTTTTGTAAAGACCAAATATGTTTGGATTTTCAGACTGGCTAGCAATGTTATCCTCCTGGATAACCTCTGATATGGATTAATTCATCTTCCTCTAACTCTCCTTCCTCCCTTCCCCATCTTCTCTACACTTATTACCTGCCACGAATGTGAGATACACTAACAAAAATAAGTATGTTCTCCTCCAGGACACAGAGTGCAAACAGAAGAGGTAATGAATCATAATTACCTAAATGCTTTATATTCCTATGTGCAAACTGCTATCAAACTGTCAGACGCTACGAAGTTAAGCAAAGAATTGAGTAAAGGTCCCTGTCTTCGAGAACTTATACTCTATTTGGAGAAATGTAGAAGGAAACTAGTGCTAAAAACATGCTAAGCCAAGTAATAGAAAATGAGCCCCATTGAGGCGGTGGCTCACGCCTGCAATCCCAACACTTTCGGAGGCCTAGGCGGTCGCATGGCTTGAGCCAGGAGTTCAAGACCAGTCTGGGCAAACTAGTGAGACCCCACCTCTACTAAAACAAAAAAGAAAGAACTAATAGAACTAGTCGAGAGGACGCTGAGCTATAAAAAATGAGCAGGATTTACACAAACTATCTTGAGAGGCTGGACTTTATGACCCTAGGGTCAATCTAGCTGTTCCGGACTTTAAACACCAGCGATCCTACCCAGAGGAAACCAGCAAAAGCACAAACGCTGGCGCGAGGTTCGCTAGCCCCACCCGACCGTCGAGCCCTGGTCACCCAGATGTAGGAAAGGCGAGCCAGGAAAACCGCCGAGCGGCGGGCGGAAGAGGCGGGGCTCCGCGAATTGCGTCATCAGGGCGCCGGAGGCTTGGCGCGCCTAGGAGTTAGTACGGTACTGCTAACTGGACGCGCGCGGCAATGGCGGCTGCCGAGGAAGTTTTGGAGTCCTTGGTGATGGGTCTGTACGACGTGCAGGCTTTCAAATTTGGGGACTTTGTGCTCAAGAGCGGGATCTCATCCCCCATCTACATCGATCTGCGGGGCATCGTGTCTCGACCGCGTCTTCTGAGTCAGGTGCCAGCCCAGGAAGGGGAAGGACGGCGGGTGGCGGGAAAGAGGACCAGGAGATGGAGGGCGGAAGGGTGACAGGAATTGGGCTGTTGGTGAGAGCAAAAGAGCCCAACAGGCAGGCCGACCCTACTGCTGGTCTGGGAAGTAGGTTTGAGATGCACAGAGGCTGGGAGTTGTTGGGCTTTTTGAGACCTTAGAGAGTACATCTTGGTTCTTTGACCGACTGGCTTTGACACGTGCTTTCCAAGAGTTGGGAAACCTCGTTTGGTGCTTTATCTGGCACAGAAGTACTTGAATAAGTTCCAGTATTTACCACCGGGAAAATTAAACATGAGGAAACAAGAAAAAAGGTGGGTGGGCGGAGAATTTAGTAGTTGATCAAATACTTGGACGGGCTGTTGCTTGGAAAGGGGGGGGGGTTAAATTTGCACTGTGTAGCCAGGAGCGAGAATTAAGGTCAGAAAATAGGTATTTCAGGGAGGCAATTTTTGGTCAATATAAAGGAAAACTTTGTACAAATTAGAGGTTTCTAGCCCAGGGCTTCTCAAACTTTGAGTATATATAAATCGTCCAGGATTTTGTTAAAATGCTGAATCCGGTTCAGTAGGTCTGAGGCAGGGCCTGAGGTTATGCATTTCTAACAAGGTGCCAGCCGAAACCGCGAACCGCACTTTGAGTAGAAGGGTGTATAAATGCTATCCAATAGAGTTGCTACTAGCCACATGTGAATAATTGAGCGTTACGGATTTTTAAATTTAAATAGTAATATGTGGCTAGTAGCTACCATATTGGACAGCACAGATAGAAAACATTTCCATCATCGCAGAAAGTTCTGTCTAGAAGACATGTATAAGTTCCCTCCACTTACTTAAGGGTTATTTTCGTTGGGCAGCCACTTTGTGTGGTTATAATAAAAAGGATTGAAGCACTGGCTGAAGTGTTGTGTTGAACTATTGACTTCTCACTATCCAGAATCTTGCTATGATGAAGAGTCTTGTTACAGTGTATCTCATCATATAGAGAAAGTGAATCATTAAGGATTTCCTAATGAAAAATTGTTTTATTTTAACAGGTCAGTTGATGACTAAAATTATTTTTTGATGCTAGATCATGGTGTGTGTGAGTGTATGAGAGAGAGAATGATTTTTTGGTAATTAACTGGGGAGGAATTCAAAACAGGAGGAGACCTGGCTATAACTAAACTCTTTTTCTTATCTACTTATTTATGTGAATAGGGTTTCTCAGTATTTATAGTCTCAAAAAACAATAGTATTTATGCTAAACTCTAACTTCTATATAGTAATACTTGACTATGGTATTGTGTATACATTAGTGTACATAGTGTACAAAATAGTCTATATATTAGTGTACTAACTGAAGTGGAAAGGTACCATTTATCTTACCAAGAAATGCATTTCCAAAATATTCTGTTTTTATGATTCTGTCAAAATTTGCAAATTAGGTTTTAATTAATATATGTTCATAATTGTGATATTCAGAAGAATTTTTTTTTTTTTGAGGTTTGAGTCTTCTTGTTTTCCTTTCTTCTTTTGTTTTAGAGACAGTCTCATTGTGTCACTCAGGCTGGAGTACAGTGTCATCATCATAATTCACTGTAACCTTGAACTTCTGGATTCAAGTGATCCTCTTGCCTCAGCCTCCTAAGTAGCTGGGACTACAGGCACATGGCACTGCACCCAGCTAATTTTTTTTTCTTTTTAACTTTTATAGAGAAGAGTCTTACTATGTTGCCCAGGCTGATCTGAAACTCCTGGGCTCAAGCAATCATCTTGCCTCAGCCTCCCAAAGTGCTGGGATTAACAGGTGTGAGCTACTGCACTGGGCTACAGAAGAATTCTTAACACTTAGAGACTTATGGCCATGGGAAATATTTTGAAATCTACCATTTTACAATTTAATTTACATACATTTTTGTCTTATGTACAAAGAAGTATGATCAGTAAAAGCTTTTCAAGTGTAAATATATATTGCATTAGAATAAAATTCTATGGACACAGTGAAATAAAAATATGAGTTTGGAAAAAATGTAAAAATTTTCCAATTTTCATAGTCCACCATTTTCATGGGTGGCTTTTGGATTCTGTGTATTCGTTAAAAAGAGTGATATAACATTTCTAAGATAATATGTTAATATTTTTAGAACTAGATATTCTTTGAAACTTAAAATATTCATAGATTTTTAAATATTTAGAAGTAGAGTAAAAAATTTTAAAGATTTCTAGATCTAGTTCACAAAGCAACTCTGAGTGATTTCTTTTAAAAAAAAAAATAAGATACTGTTAGGTGGGTGTATGCATTGTAATATTAAAATGTGATGATTTATGTGGAAAAGGAAATTATAAAATAGTACTTCAGTCTGGGTGAGGTGGCTTACACCTGTTAATTCCAATACTTTGAGAGACCAGAGTGGGAGGATCATTTGAGCCAAGGAGTTCAAGACCAGCCTGGGCAACATAGCCAAAACCCTGTCTCTACAAAAGAAATAAAAAACTTAGCCAGGTGTGTGGCGCACACCTGTTGTCCTAGCTATTCGGGAGCCTGAGGTGAGAGTGAGACCTTACCTCTAGATAGACAGACAGATAGACTTCACACTATAGGTTCTGTATTTATAAAACTTCTTAATTGAAGATTTCTTTCAGAAAATCTAAAAGATGATAGATACTCAAAGCATAGTGGATTATTACTAAGGGACACTGGGAAGTTGGGGGACCATCCTTAGTCTTTGGGGTCAATATCATGACCTTCCCCAACACTCATGTTGCCTTGAGGGCAGACCCTGAGCTCAGCTGAGTAGGTTCATTCTTGTGGGGTTTTTTTTCTTTTTTTTCCAACCCCTCCTTCCACCTCCCCTCATTCTTGTATTTTTATATTTATATATGTATATGGGGATCTGTGGAGAGGGTAACTTAATACATTTGTTGGCTGGGTGCGGTGGCTCACGCCTGTAATTTATCACTCTGGGAAGCCGAGGAGGGTGGATCGCTCGAGGTCAGGAGTTCGAAACCAGCCTGAGCAAGAGCAAGACCCCGTATCTACTATAAATAGAAAGAAATTAATTGGCCAACTAATATATATAGAAAAAATTAGCCTGGCATGGTGGTGCGTGCCTGTAGTCCTAGCTACTGGGGAGGCTGAGGCAGTAGGATTGCTTGAGCCCAGGAGTTTGAGGTTGCTGTGAGCTAGACTGATGCCATGGCACTCACTCTAGCCTGGGCAACAAAGTGAGACTCTGTCTCAAAAAAAATAACTAAATAAAAAATAAATTTGTTTTTCTCCCCAGTCAGGTGTGAGACTAACCCCTTCTAGGTTATTACTGTCTTTGATATTATGTTACATGATTTATACACCATTTAAAATATAATAATAATAGTTTGTGTGTTCATCTTCTTACAGGTTGCAGATATTTTATTCCAAACTGCCCAAAATTCAAGGATCAGTTTTGACACGGTGTGTGGAGTACCTTACACAGCTTTGCCAATGGCTACAGTCATCTGTTCAACAAAACAAATTCCAATGCTTGTTAGAAGGAAAGAAACAAAGGATTATGGTAAAGTAGACGTGGGATAAACGTTAAGTTAATATGTAATCTGATACTGTTAGAAGTTTTTCCTGTTCTGTACACTGTTTTACCAGTCATCTTGAATATTCTTCGTAAGTACTTTAAGTTGTTATTGTCTGTGGAATTTGTTAGCTTTTGCTATAAATTACCTTCCTTTCCATTAGAGTCTACAGGAGAAATGCTTTATATTGATTAAGCAATGAAAAAAAATGCTTTTTTTTGCACTTTATCTATGAAACCCCAGCATCTTTACTAGCCTTTCCCTCATTAGAGAATGTTCTAACAGCACATGGTTTCCCAATATATTTGTACTTAAACTAATAATGTGTGAATAAAATTACTCTCATAAAGCAAGGTAAACACCTCATGGAGATATTTTTTGTGGGTCCATGACAGTAAGTTATCAGGTACCTAAAAATCAATCTTAATGATATTAAGCAGTTAATGGGCTTTTTTGTTTTATGTTGCTGTGATAATGGTTTGTTACATTTTTTTGAAATAAGTCCTTTTACTTATGCAGTCTAGAAATTTTTTTGTTGAAATCATGTGTTATCTGGAATTTGCTTCTAAAAATTATGAGGATAGGGAGTAAAGATATAGATGAAACAAGACTGACCATGAGTTGTTAGGTGGTGAGGTTCTGTATTCATGGGTGTTCATAATACTATTTTGTCTACTTTTGTTTGTTTGAAATTGTCATTATAAAAATAAATATGAAAAATAGTTGAATTTTTGCTGGTTAAAGGCACAGCTTTAGGTTTTTTGAGCTAAAATAATTATCTGCATGAGTCCCTACCCATAGGGGAACTGTTATGAAACTATATGTTTTTTAAAATGTTTCTAGAATGAAATAATTTATTTTTTAATATACCTATCTATTTTTAATATGCTCATAGTTTTATTTTCTAGGCTAAGCTGATTAAGTTAAATTTGTCAATTCTTTAAGCAGAGGAAAGAATTTAAGAGAAAAGGAATGGGAAATGTCAAAGATGATACTTAGGGTAGAGCTCAAAAAGTGGGTAAAATGCCCACCAATTCTATTTCCATTTCAAAGTAAAACAAATTGGTATTGGAAAATATAAAAATGAGTGTATAAAATCTATAGCCTGAGTTGTTTACATTTTATAGATTATCTGAAAATAGTCTTTAGTGCGGTTTGGGGTAGAGAAGTATGTATGTAGTCACATTGCATTATGTAATTCATAAGATTGTACTAATGTGTCTAAATGATTGCTGAAGATTTTTCCTCCTCAATTTATAGCTTCAAAAAGCCAATTGTTTGGATAATCTTGAGTGTTGAACTTGTAATAGTTTGTTGATGGAAAAAGGAATGATTTTATTGATGATGTTGTGTTATTCTGTGTTTCATAACTTTCCTAAATCTAGATGATCTTGCTTTAAGAAACCTCATGTTTGAAAATTTGACAATAAAACACATTAAAGGGTGTTTATTTACACTACAAAATAATTTACTTATTTTACTGTAAATAGTCTGTACGTGTAACTGATAGTTTTGGAATACAGAGACGGTGAACAAAACAGTCATCAAGGCACATTGAAAATAAAGATAAGTAGCTCCAAAGTAGATTTTCAGAAAATAAGATTTAGATCATCCACCCTTATATAAGTATTACCAAATTTATACTGTAAGATACATTTTTGAGTTGGCTGGGACATATATGTGTGTGTGTGTGTGTGGGTGGGTGTGGTGTGTGTATGTGTATATATGTATGTTTTAAAATTGGAATCAACAAATTTTTTTCTTTTCTAGGTACTAAGCGTCTTGTAGAAGGAGCTATTAATCCTGGAGAAACCTGCTTAATCATTGAGGATGTCGTCACCAGTGGATCTAGTGTTTTGGAAACTGTTGAGGTTCTTCAAAAGGAGGGCTTGAAGGTCACTGATGCTATAGTGCTATTGGATAGAGAGCAGGGAGGCAAGGACAAGTTGCAGGAGCATGGGATCCGTCTCCACTCAGTGTGTACATTGTCCAAAATGCTGGAAATTCTTGAGCAGCAGAAGAAAATTGATGCTGAGATGGTTGGAAGAGTGAAGAAATTTATTCAGGAAAATGTTTTTGTGCCAACTAATCATAATGGTTCTCTCCTTTCTGTAAAGAAAGCACCCAAAGAGCTCAGCTTTGGTGCACGTGCAGAGCTGCCCAGGATCCACCCAGTTGCATCAAAGCTTCTCAGGCTTATGCAAAAGAAAGAGAGCAATCTGTGTCTGTCTGCTGATGTTTCAGAGGCCAGAGAGCTGTTGCAGCTAGCAGATACTTTAGGACCCAGCATCTGCATGCTCAAGACTCATGTAGATATTTTGAATGATTTTACTCTGGACGTGATGGAGGAGTTGACAACTCTGGCAAAACGCCATGAGTTCTTAATATTTGAAGACCGGAAATTTGCAGATATAGGAAACACAGTAAAAAAGCAATATGAGGGTAAGTATATTATTCAGGAATCTTCAAGAATCAGAAATCCAGCTTAAACTGGCTGAAGACAAAAAGGAAATGTATTAGGCCTGGCTCAGTGGCTGACGCCTGTAATCCTACCATTCTGGGAGGCTGAGGTGGGAGGATTGCTTGAGCTCAGAAGTTCAAGACCAGCCTGAGCAAGAGCAAGACCCCATCTCCACTAAAAATAGAAAAAAGTAGCCAGGTGTGGTGGCATGTGCCTGTAGTCCCAGCTGCTTGGGAGGCTGAGGCAGTAGGATCACTTGAATCAGGAGTTTGAGGTTGCTATGAGCTAGGCTGATGCCATGACACTCTAGCCCGGGAACAGAGCAAGACTCTGTCTCAAAAAAGAAAAGAAAAAAGAAAGAAAAAAATGCATTAGCTCACATAACTGAAAGTCTAGCCATAGAGCAGGCTGTCAGATGTGGTTGGATCTAGGAGCTCAAGTGATGTCTTCTGTACTTGCTTTCTATCCATATCTCAGCTCTGCTCTTTTCTCTGTTTACTTCTTTTATAGGTGGGTACACTTCATGTGCCCACCCCAAACCAGTCACTGTGGCCTGGGGTATAGAATACCTTTGTTATCTGGCCTGAGTAATATACCTGCTCTTGTATCGTGAGGTTATTAATTTTATTTAAACTTCTTGAACTGAGAACCAAGCTAGGATAGCTCCCCTAAAGAAAACGGGTGTGCTGTTAGCAGAAGAACAGTTCTGTGGGTTCTGGGCATGCAAAAGGGTTTTCAATAAAAATTATAGATGTAGGAAACAAAGAAAAAGCAGTATAAAATGGTAAGATTTATTTTCAACTGAAAAGATCTGTTGAGATATATCTTTTTTTAAGATTTTTTTTTAAATGTCAAATAGGAACCCAAAGTAAGGGACATGTGCTGGAAAAAATGCTTAGTTCTACAACCCATCCTTCTATGCAAATTTCTGTCTGTTTTTACAAGGATGTGATCATACTGTATATATCTGATTTTTTTTTCACTTATTACAGATATTTGGTCCTGTTACTTAAGACTTACTGTAGGCATCTTTGAGATAATTTTTCTTAAAGTCATACATATTCTTAATCTATTTCTTTAGAATAGACTTGTTTATAAGTGACTTTCTTCATGTGCCTATGTTGTCCTACTGATGTCACATTGCTTAGCTTAGTTTGGCTTACTGACTGACATAGGAGTTACACTCACTTTCTTCGGGTTTACATATAGCTTTTTTTTCAAAAAAAGGTTTTTACTGTGAGTTTTTAAAATGCATGCAGTTGTCTACTGGGATTAGAATAGCTAAGGAGATCTAAGGAACCTGTGGAAATATTGAGAGAAAGTATATTTGCTGAGAGATCCCTGCAGGATATTTGTCATTTTCAAGAAGTATTTCAAAATGTCAATATTCTTGACATTAATAAATGCCCATCTTCACTGGAGTTCCTAATTGCACGATCTTCTTTCAGCTTGCAAGGAAAAGCAGTCTTAATCAGTGTTCCTGATAAACAAAGTGGAGAACTTGCAGTAGTTTTTTTCTCACTGTGATCTCTTACCCAGCTACTAGGTGGACTGATACATTTTTCACAGATAGGAACCATGAGTTCCACAATAATCACTAACATTCCTGAAATGTTAGACTCTATCATTAACATGTTACTTGGAGATTATTTCATATTATAGTTGGTTAGTTGGGCAAAAGGTTAGAGGTTTTTGTTAGAAAGTTGGCAAATAATCTTTTTTTACCCCCTTCTTCTCTTAGGTGGTATCTTTAAAATAGCTTCCTGGGCAGATCTAGTGAATGCTCACGTGGTACCAGGCTCAGGAGTTGTGAAAGGCTTGCAAGAAGTAGGCTTGCCATTGCATCGGGGGTGCCTGCTTGTTGCAGAAATGAGCTCTGCTGGCTCCCTGGCCACAGGGGACTACACTAAAGCAGCGGTAAGTGACAGATGGACCTGGGGCGAGAGAAGGCTAGGGCTTTCATGCTAGAGGGCAAGAAATACCTTAATCTGGGGTCCATGGCACCTCTGCCAAAAAACATCAGCTCTTATTAGTGTGACAGTATGTTAATACTAGTTGATAGAGTTCCTTGATAGTTCATAGCATTTTATATCTTACAGTGGACACTTAAGGAATGTGAATTGTGCTCCTAGAGAAACACTGAGATACAGATAGTCAAATAAATGTCTACCTATAGTCACCAGGCCTGTAAGATAGTTGTCTTTTTCATCTCACCATGAGTTAACTGTGAACATAAGAAGAGCTTCCCAGACACACAATTTCTCAGACTTGGGAAAGTCCCACAGAGATGCACATTCTCATGACAGTTGCCCACAGGAAGTATCCTTTTATCTTTGATATTGATTGGCTTTATATAGGAAAAGCTTTTAACTAGAGTCCACATGCATTGTGTCCTCCAGTAACTCCTCCATTATTAATAGTTCTTACAACGTCAAACACAGTACTCCCCACTCCCTTCCCACCCCTGCATGCTAAAGTAAAATATGAGATGGATGATTACCTAGTTAAAAAGTTCTCCTTCACATTTTCCTCTGAGTAAATTTTTGATTGGATATTCATCTATAAAGGTGGATAAATCACCTTTACAGATATTTTAAAGAATATAATATTACTTTTTAAAATTACCACGAGAAATTTAATTTTTTCATATTATTTCAAAGATGATATGGAGCTGTTAAAAACTCTTATGGTCCTAGAGTCAGATTTTAACTCCACCCATAAATGTCTGATTTCCTAGGACTCACAAGCAGAGGGACCATGAGTCTGTGCTAATATTTGGCATTCTGGGAGTCTGGGTCTGGCTTAAGGACAAAACATCACTTGTTTGTTGGTAGTAGTACTTGGTCATAGGAATGGATTGGTGTGAGTCTTAGGGAAGAGGCAAATCAGAAAGCCAGACAGACCTTCTAAAGAAACTTGAGTGTAGACATTTAGGGGACCAGTTAAGAGCAAATGTTAAAGGAGAGGGAAAGCAGAAGTGAGAGATTTCTTTAGCTCTTGAAAACGTAGCTGGTTTTTATGATGGCTACCCTTGGGTATGGAGTGCCGTGTGGAGATGGGCTGTAATCTTTGAATGTAGTTTCCTACCATTACGTGTTCTAGAGTACTCATCTCAGATGATTTTTGGAAGTAGGTGGGTCACCAAGTGTTAGTACAAATAAATAACTATGCATCTTGATTTTAAATGCACATAGTATAGGATTTTTGTTAATTTAATTAATCGGTTGATCAGGGGAAGAGGTAGGGAAGGGTCATCCCTGGGTCTTAATAAAACAAATATGTTTCATCATCATGATTCATATCTAAGATGACATGTTTCAGATATAGTTTATATATATGAAATGAGAAAAGGCATCTGTAATATAATAAAGTTTCTAACTAGTTAATAGAGTAGATTATTTTACTTTTGTAGAACTTTTATTCTGTGTGATTAACTATTTTCTTGTAATATGTCCTATTCCATTTAGGTTAGAATGGCTGAGGAGCACTCTGAATTTGTGGTTGGTTTTATTTGTGGCTCTCAAGTAAGCACGAAACCAGAATTTCTTCACTTGACTCCAGGAGTTCAGTTAGAAGCAGGAGGTAAATCCATTCCAAAAATGCTTCTTTACCCACAGCAGGCAAAATTAAACTTTGCGTGTTATTATAAAGTTGCTAAAGAGAAGCCTTGTTAGTCTAGAACAATGAAGAATGAGCACTTTGGCCTGCTGATACCTAGATTTGTAAAGCAGTTTGCAGTCTGATGTTATGAGAAAATTTTAGAAAGATTTTTCATTGAAATATTTCATAAAACTAATATTTTAGGTTAGTGTTTCTTATCTGGTGTTCTAAGTATGCTACCAAAAGAAGATATTCTATGCTCAAGGAAGTTTGGAAAACCCAAGGCTAAATAAAATTAAATATTTGCTTCTTTGTTAGAGGACATTGCAGACCTGAATTGTGCTTATGTCTATTGTGAATCTCCAGTGTGGGGATCTGTGGTTCTGTCACGTTACCAAGCTTATTTGAACATGTAACACTTTCTCGGCAACCTGAGAAATACAACTAGAGTGGCTAAAAAGCAGTGCTGATTTTCTTATTGATGGTATTCTCTATTCAATAAACGAGTAATCTAGGTTATGAAAATATACATATTTAACTGTCCTATGGGATTCAGTAAAGCTGCTTTAGTTTTGAATGAGGAAGAAATTTATGATCAGAAAACATTTATTTTTCCTGAATTGGTTATTGTTCAAGAAAGATTGCTCATCACAGTTACCAGAGTTTATTCTGTCCCACCTTTCATCTCATTCCTTCTTTATAGGTTAGGCTTAAGAAGTTGGCTATTGGGGCTGGGCCTGGTGGTTCATGCCTGTAATCCTAGCACTCTGGGAACCCGAGGTGGGCAGATCATTTGAGCTCAGGAGTACGAGATCAGCCTGAGCAAGAGCAAGACCCTGTCTCCACTGTAATAGAAATTAACTGGCCAACTAAAAATATATATAGAAAAAATTAGCCGGGCATGGTGGCGCATGCCTGTAGTCCCAGCTACTCGGGAAGCAGAAGGATTGCTTGAGCCCAGGAATTTGAGGTTGCTGTGAGCTAGGCTGATGCCACGGCATTCTAGACTGGGCAACAGAGTGAGACTGTGTCTCAAAAAAAAAAAGTTGGCGATTGGAACCGTGAACATTAAGTTTCTCAGTTTGTAAAATTATTAAATATTTAAATATAAATACTTAAAATGAAAACAACTATGGCTGATAAACACTCAGAATGTAATGATCAACCTCAATTGTAATGATTGAGGTTTATAATATCAAGAAGGGTATGAGTTTGAGAAACCTTAGTTTTCTTTTTAAACCCGGAAACACTATGACTAGTATAACCATTAATCTTGAAGGAACTAATTATTTTATATAGATAATGTAACATTTAAGAAAAATAAGGAACTGCCTTTTTGGTTATTTTGTTTTTAATTAAGTACTTTAAACAGGGAACATTACAGAGGGTTAATCAGGAAGAAAACTAACAGGCTGATGAGAATTCAAATAAATAGGTTAATGGATGGTAGATGTACCCCCTGCCAGGTTAAAGAATATGGGAGGTTTCCTATGCCATTTCCCAAGTTTTACATTTCAGATTCCACATACTACAGAACAGGCCTCAGCAGAATGGCTTCCCTGAGGCTTTATAATAGTTATCTTGGCTTTTGGCATTTTTTAAAAATTCCACATTTGTGCTAAACATTTTTTGAATCAGATAGATTTGGGTTCCTGGCCCTTCCAACTTGTAATCATGTTATTAATAAGTTATAATAATAACTTATAAGTTATTAATACTTATTTTTGTCTCATTTTCTCGATCTGCAAAATGGGGATAACAATATTGACCTTGGGTAATTAATTGAGAGGCTTCAGTGAAATAACGTGTAAAGCATTTAACGTATATCTTGGCACAAAGTGAGCACTCTGCTTGTCTACTGTTAGTATTATTTGTAAGCCCCCGCAATTACTTGACTAGATAGTACAGAGTCTAGGCTTTTAGGAATATTTAAAGCATCTTGGATTTGAAAAATAATAAGTCATTTAACAGAGTGCTTCTAGAATAGCAGAATTTAAAAAAAACCAAAAAAGCAAAAATTAGGAATTAGGGTTTGTGCATAGTCTGTATGACTGCTTGATAGATGGTGGCAGAAAGGTTCATGGTAGTGGTCAGGTTAGATGCCTTAGTCACAGGCGTCCTCAAACTACGGCCCTCAGGCCACATGCGGGTGTTTTTGCCCGTTTGTTTTTTTACTTCAAAATAAGATGTGTGCAGTGTGTATAGGAATTTGTTCATAGTTTTTTTTAAACTATAGTCCGGCCCTCCAACAGTCTGAGGGACAGTGAACTGGCCCCCTGTTTAAAAAGTTTGAGGACCCCTGCCTTAGGAAGTCTTTCCCAAGAGTGCAGCACGGTGATTCTGAGATGTATGGTCAGGTTCTCTTCAATTTTGAGGCCAAATTTTATTGTATTTTGGGGGCATTGATTTTTTTCATGTCAACATAGGGATTACGTCATTGTTTTTTGATATTGTTAAACAATAGATGATCTACAATTCGATATTGAAAGGGAAGGAGTTGCGTAGCATCTTTCTGCGCAGGGGAGGTCTCTGGCCTATCCAGCGAGCCTTTTCAGCTCCTTTTGTTACCCACTTGCTGTGTAGACGGGGAATGGAAAGCAGGAGCATGTTTTTATTTAAAGCTGGTTACATATTTTCTCAGAGAAGTCATGGGACAGGGTTTCTGATTTTTGTATTATGTTAAACAGTAGCTTTTGTGTTTTCGCAGGGGATAGTCTTGGCCAACAGTATAACAGCCCACAAGAAGTTATCGGCAAACGAGGTTCTGATATCATCATTGTAGGCCGGGGCATAATCTCAGCAGCTGATCGTCTGGAAGCAGCAGAGATGTACAGAAAGGCTGCTTGGGGAGCTTATTTGGATAGACTTGGTGTTTGAGTGCCTTGGACGCATTTTTGTGAAGATCTTGAAGATAGTGGCCGCTTGAAAGTCAATGGCTTAAAGCAACCAGCAGCTTTTACTCCCGCTTTCATTCTCCCACAGGGCCTGTGGGGGGGTGGCTTCTGGCATTCGTATAGTCTTTAGCAGATACTGAGTAGATTGTAATCATTGCACTGTTACCATAATAAGTGTATTTTCAGATTTGTTTTTATTAAAATGAGTGTTTGTAAGGCTCAACAGTCCTGTCTGTATTAGGGTCTTCCACATTTGAGGATCACTGCTATCTAGAGATAGGAGTTTTTTATTCTTTTAATTACTGGGAGACAAAAAATTTTAGGACATCAGGAGGCTAAAACCAGTATATCATTTCTTGGGTCCTTTATTCTTTAATGTGTTGCCCAAATCATATCTAAATATTAGCCAGTCACCTCTTCCTTTTGCTTAAAAGTGACAGTCCAGGAATCCAAATGGTGCTGGTTTCTGGAACTACCGTTGCTCACTCTCCAAAGAGGGCAAGGTGGGGAAGGGGAAGATGACTATTGCTTAGCCCGTAAGCTAATACCTGGCTGTCATTTCAACAAATGGAGGTGGGTTTTGGCTCATTTCTTCCCCTAGCCAGCAACTGTGGACCAGTGATGAAACTCAGTCACAGTTTCCTCAGTTCACAGCCAAGAGGTCTGTGGGAGTTTATTTAAGGATCCCACATAATTGTGCCAACTTATTAACAGAGAGGGAAATCAGCCTTTATGAATAATATTCAAGGTGGTGGTTGAGCAGGGCCAGGGTGAATGCTGTCTGAGTTCTGATTGGACCAGCACTCTCCTTCCTTCACTTACCTGTAGCCAGTGGCAGGTGGAGGACACTTGCCATTTCCCCACCATGTCACCTCTTTCCACCCCTGCCCACTCTTCTCTCTAATGACTCAGAGGGGGGCCTGGGATTCCAACTCAGGTTATTATGTTCCCTCTAGAAGTTTCTACTTTACGAGATTCTGCTCTAAAGTCCAGTTTGAGCTTCAGGTCCCCAGTGCTGCATCTCCAGAGAAATTCCGTCTGGGAGAAAGGGACAAATTATCAAAGCAGCCAGGAGGAAAAGGAAGGGGCTTGGCCCTTGGGGCTACTCTGGAGGAGCCAAAATGCATGAAGGGGAGGAGAATTTTCTGATAAAAACTTGTAGGCATCTTGGATGTCTTGGGTTTTCGGTTTTGAGGCCTGGGGCTGTGAAGCCTTGGAGTGATGTGCCAAGGTCTCAAGTGCCTACTCCAGTGACTGAGCAGGTCAGTGGTTCGCTCCCGCCAGCAGCTATCAGATTCACCAGAGTCTTGCCCCACCCCCAGCATTTCTGACTGTGGGCAGCTCTGGGAAGGGGCTTAAGAATTTGCATCTCTAACAAGTTCCCAGGTGATACTGAGGCTGCTAGTGCAGTGACCAGACAGAACCACAACACTAGTTAGTCATATTTTTGCCTCTGCAGTGAGATAGCCTTGGTCTGCCTCCTCTCCTGCTGAAATTGACATCCTCCTGTCCTTCCTTCATAGTACTGCCTCCAGCCTGTGGGCACTGAAGTTCGCCTAGAACCCTTGCCAGGTAAGTTGAGGGGATATCAGAGCAGCTCAAAGAATCACCTGGCCCCTCCCGCTTATTTAAAGTGCAGGTTCCTGTACCTGACACAGTCAGATACTCTGTCTTTAGAAGATGGGGGTTTGCCCAGCTCCCTGGGCATCTGCATTTCCAATGGGTGCCGCAGGTGATACTGGTGTTTCTTAAGGGAGAGGTCAGTGCTGCAGGCTGCTAACTTGAGCAAAAGCCCCAACAGTCTGGAGTCAAAACTTGGGAGGAGAGTGATTCAGATAAGAACTTGGGCTGTCTTGGGCTATGAGAGTGCTTGTTCTTTAGCATTGAAGTATTTCAGAGGCATTAGATATTATAGTTTAGCCTTGTCTAGTCAAGGAATATTTACAGAACAGTAGCCCCAGGCATTGTAACACAGTCCCCATGGGGTGCACAGAATAATCTATAAGACTAATGGAGAGGAGAACTCCCCCCAGCCTCTACCACCACTCTAGGCATTTTGTAGAGCATAACCCCACAGATGTTTTAGTGCTGGAGGATCCTAAGAAACCATCGGGTCCAGCTCCCCTTGTTTTAGAGCTACAGCAGTGCAGCCCTGGAGTAGTGAAGGGACCTGCTCAGCCACAGCCACCCTATGGGCAACACAGGCCTGGGTCTCTCAGTCCCAACTCTTACTCTTGTGTTGATGTCAGTCAGTTCTAGGCAAAGCTACCTAAAGCAGCCCTGAAGTTGTTTAAAACCTGTCTCACAAAAGGCACGGAAGGGTGAAGATGGCAGCCTGAGGACATATTTAATGTTCTTCCCTCCCAACTCCCCTTCACCTACCTCCCTGGAACAAAATAGCTGCCAGGACCGACAAGTAGGTGAGGCCTGGCGCTGTCCACATGACCACAGGCCCTGCCATGATCCAAGGAGGACAGGTGCAGGGCATTTGTCTCCTTTAAGCTCGATGGGAGTGAGGTTCAATAGGGAAGCTCGGGACGTGGGGAGGAGTGGCGTGTGTGTGTGTGTGTGTGTGTGTGTGTGTGTACACATCTCAGAGGTCCAACTGGATCTTCCTGGCTCCGAGGACCTGAGGTTGCTGACAGCCTCAGTAGAGGATGGCAGCTTCCCGGTGGGTTTGCTGCTGCAGGAGAGTTGTACAGAACCAAGGGGGAACCAAGAAAGTAAAGCACCTGAGGACCTGAGCAATGGGACAAGAAAGCAAAGAAAAATACCTGAAACAGGTGTAAGAGCACGGTTTTCACTGGGTTGTGCTCATTGCTGAATTCTCAGCACCAGACACAGGGCCCAGCAAATGTTTCTGAATGAATGGGTGAATACGTAGCCCCTGGTGAACGTCAGCTGCCAGAGGAAACAGACTGTAACTCCATGCACCAAGATTAAAATAACAAAAACAGGAAGCCACAATTGCAATGTTTTGTTTCAGGAACTAAAATAAAATGAAAATTTGATGGAAAAGTTTCAAAAGGCATTGTTAATATTGAGAACCACTGTCATGGAATGAAAGATTATGTGAAGAAAGATACCAAAATTTGAAACAAAAATACAAAGAAATAGAAACAATGAGGGAATAGATAAGAGGTTTAGAGGAAAGATCCATGACTATTAAGAGAAAGAGACACAATAGGAGGAGAGGAAATATTAATAATTATAGAAATAATTGAAAATTTCCACAGTTTGAAAAAACACTTGAGTGTGTAGATTAAAAGGGCCCACTGAGTTCTAAGCAGGAACTACAAAGACATACTCCTGGGTATATCCTATAAAAATAATTGAATTTCAAGGATAAAAATTTTAGAAGCACCCTAGAAGAATAAATGACTTGCAAAATAAAAGGAATCACCAGACACAGACTGTCATTTGTAGCACTGGGCACTTGGAGACAGGTAATGACATGCAGATGCCCTAAGAAGAAAGGACAGTCACAACCAAGAATTCTGAGTGCAGACATGGTCCCGTTTCAGGTTTTAGCAGCCTGAAGTGTGTTCTTACAATCTCCATAAGTACGTTTTGGTGCATCGGGCTATGGCTCCAACCCACCCCAGTGAGTGGGATGCACGGAGCACATGCCTTCAAAGGCCAGGAGGGCAGAGGTAGAGCAGGTGCACCTAACAATAGGAATAGAATCTATCTGAAGTGGTGAGTATATCCAGAACTTAGGAAACAAACTGGAAGCCCCTTAGAGATCATCTAACCCAATCATGCCGTTTCATGGATGAAGAAATTAAGGCCCATCGAGAAATGATTTCAGCAAGATTGCAGAAAAGCTCGTTCCAGGCAGACTGCAGATTAGAATCCTTGTCTCTTGACTTTAGCGTAGCATTTTTGTTATTAAGTTCTTTTTATCCCCTTTCTGTAAAGGTAGAAAAATTCATTTTTTTTACCCCTTTATGTGTTGCGAGAGATATCAGCTAGTCTTTCGTTCCTATCAGTTACAACTCACATAGCTCTTGCTTGCTGCAGGAAGCAAAATCTGACCTCCTGCCCTCTTATCTGTCAATGGCAGGTCTCTAATCTGATTGTGGGCCATAGAACCCTAATTGCAGAGGGACCCTAGAGGAAGGAATGCTGCAGAGAGAGGTCAAAAAAATCTGAACAGACAGGCCTTGCTGGGTTTAGATTATATCCTTTTTTGTCCAATCACATGTTGACACAGTTGTCCATGCTTCAACCATGCCTATCCAATGAAGTCTATAAAAGTCCAAGAGGACAGGGTTTGGGGTTTCTGGAGAGCTGAACATGTGGAGGCTGACAGGAAGGTGAACAAGAACTCATCCACGTGGCAGGAGGGTGGCACACCCCAACACCACACGGACAGACGCTCCTATGCTCGAGACCCTACCACACCTTGCCCTATGTACCTCTTCACCTGGCTGTTTAATTGTAGCCTTCAAAATATCCTCTGTCATAAATCAGTCAACTTGTTTTCCTGAGTTCTGTGAGCTAGCTGCTCTAGCAAATTATACAAACCCAAGAGGGTTTGTGGAAGCCCCAACTTGAAGCTGGTCGGTTAGAAGTTCTGGAGGCCAGCACTTGCAACTGGTGTCTGAAGGCGGTGCAGTCTTGGGGACTGAGATGGGATCTCCAGGTAGATAGTGTCAAAACTGAACTGGAGAACGCCCAATTGGTGTCCCTTGCAGGACTGATTGCTTGCTTGCTGATGGGGAGAAATCCCCACATATTTTGGGGGTCACAGAAGTTTTCTGTGTGGATTGTGTTAGAATGAGAGCAGAGGAGAAAACATGGTTCTAGTTTTTCCTAACACATCGCTACCAGGATTCGATAGATGAAGCCAAAACTAAAGTGGCAGATTATATATTGTCCACAACTCTTCCCTCCTTCCTGAATCCATACACTTTGCCACGTGGCTCCACAGTTCCTCCTGCTAGATGTGGAGAATATTTCCCCACCCTACTGATGTCAGCCTTTGGCGATGGAACGTCGCCCGCCACTGGTTCTGAGGCCAAGCTCACCACTATCTGACATCTGCCCCCACTGTGAGAGGAACATGCCCCATTGGTCACAGAAGAAGGAGAGAAAGGCAGAGCAGGGCCCACTCCAGCCCCACGCCCTGACGCGCAGGTGCCCAGCTGCTCTGGGCCTGGGAGTGTGGCCGTGCACGCTCGCTGGCGTGCGCCATAGTGTAGCTGTGTGCCGCAGCTCCCCCAGATCCAGCCTGGTTACCAGGAAGACAAAAACTACACAGGAATCGGTCATCCTTCCTTCAGCCTTCCCGACCCTCACCTCTGCTACTTTCAGTGATTCTCGAAGCAGCTGCCTGGCTCTTGTGTGACCCCAGCACCGATTACTGAAAATGACCGTGGGTAACCCCACGGACTCTCTGCAGTTTGGTTCCTTTGCCCCCTAACAGGTGGATGTGATGCCAGGTCATCAGTGCTAGGAAGGAATTTCTTTTTGAAGGAATCTAGTATTTTTTTTTAAAGCATGAAAAAAAATCATTAAGTTCTTGATACTTATTCCATAGTCAGTGCTGTTTTACTAAATGCTGATTTTATTTTGGATTACAGGATGTGAAGTGCCATATTTTTCTTTTTTAGCTCTTAGAGCCTTTAAAGTTTGTCATCTGGCCTTGTGTGATTTACCCGCCAATCCCTTTGTTTTCGTCATGGCCCTTCCAAGTTCATACTTGGCTTTTGTGCCTCAGGAAAGGGAGGCCACAATAGAAACACAAAGAGAAGAAAAATAATTAGAATATGTTTTAACGTTTAAAGTTCAAGGTTTTGGCATAAGTGCTGGTTTGGAAGAACATTTGCCTGCCGTTTTTCCTCCCACCAAGGGAGAGCAACAAGCGGCTGAAGGAGCCGCAGGCCAGGTTCTGGTGTGACCCCTCACCTCTGTGGCTGGGTCCCAGGGAGGGAGGGGAAGGGGAGGGCACCCAAAAGGAGGCTGGGGGACTGACGGCAGAGCAGGTCTGTGCCTTGTTTATCTGGGGGTAGGGGGTCGGAGAGTAGCCAAGACCCAGAGATCCCCACCCCAGCTCAGAGCCCAGCAGTGGGCTCGGAGGCCATGCGTGTCTGGGGCAGAGCCAGAGCTGGCCTTAGCTTCCTGTGGCTCCAGAGTGACATGACAGAGAAGCCGAGTTTTCCCATCTTTCTGAAAAGGGCATGGGAGTTGGCCGAGAAACAGACCTGGTGGGCCTGAGGGCTCTCAACCATCCTGTAAGGACATTTCAGTGGGACGCGGAACAGGCCGTACAGCCAAGGTTCTGACAAGGACAGCGGTGTCTTTGCGGGGCCATTGTGCACAGACTCGGTGCCACCACCCTGCCTCCAACTCACAGCACTGCACTGTCCCCCTGCACGTGGCAGGGCAGGGCCTGGAATGATGGCATTTAACAAGACGCGCTGTCCTTGTTTACCTGGAACCCAGTGACACCATGTGTTCTGGCATCACTTGAATAAACACTTGAAGTACAGATGATGTTGAGTTTAGGGAAAAAACTCGTAAAATTATGGTTTTTGCAGTTGGAATAGATGGCCTAAAAATTCATATTGCCTCTTGGAAACACAGCACAATTAGCCTTTGATCTCCTTCCCTTCCTCATGCTTGCTTCCTTCCCTCGCCCCACCATCTCGCTGCCCCCTCTCACTTCCCCAAGCCCCTGATGCTCCTGCTGGGCTGTCGCATGGCCTCTTCCTCACTTCTGTTGCCTTCGTCCCCTTCTGCTTATCAGTTCCATGCAGGTGTAGGGGGTGTCTCCCAACTTAAATCAAGCCACAGTCCTCGGGGCTTGAGCTGAAAAGAGACCCTAAGTAAAGGTGCTGGGTGGGAGGGAAACCCAGGTGTCCTCGGCCTCTTGTCTTCCCCGGGTTCTGGGCCCAGCTTCTCCACCCACGTGGAGGTACTCACAAAAGGTGTGACCCCACAAGCCTCAGTTCATTGTGTGTTTTGCTCTGTATTTTTTAAAATTGTTTTATGAGCATGAGTCAGGACATGAATGCCAACCCGCACACAGGCCAGCTCGCACCGTGCGGCTAGCTGGCGTGGCCAGGAAGACCAGCTGTGCACCAGTGCCCAGGCCAACCTGCGTGCTGGCCTGGGAAGGAGTCTTCAAAGTATTGAATCTTTGTGCCAGAAATCGTGAGGCTTGTGTCAGTTGTCATCTTCCTTCATTTTTAAAAATAGAACAGTTCCTTGAACTGTACTGGGATTTTTGGTTAACGTGTATACCAGAGACAGCTCATGTGATGAGAGCAAAAGAGAAAGATTCAAGGAAACGGGAGAGATTTTATAATTTATAAAATTTATTATTTTATATTTTATTTTATTGAGACAGAGTCTCACTCTGTTGTCCATGCTACAGTGCCGTGGCGTCAGCCAAGCTCACAGCAACCTGCAACTCCTGGGCTCAAGCGATCCTCCTGCCTCAGCCTCCTGACTAGCTGGGACTACAGGCATGTGCCACCATGCCCGGCTAATTTTTTCAATATATTTTTAGTTGGCCAATTAATTTCTTTCTATTTTTACTAAAGACAGGGTCTTGCTCTTGCTGAGGCTGGTCTTAAAGTCCTGACCTTGAGCGATCCTCGCGCCTTGGCCTCCCAGAGTGCTAGGATTACAGGTGTGAGCCACTGGGCCTGGCCCCAAATTTATTATTTTATAATTTAATTTGCAGAAATACTTCCTTTTGTTTCAGTACAGATGCGTGCCCCGCAGTGGAGCTCTGGGATGTGGAAAGGCAGACGCGCTTCCCTGGAGACAGTGCGTTGAGAGGAGGTGTTCCTGGGCTGGATCTCACTTGCCAAACCCCACTCAAGGCGACTAACCTCAGTTTCCTCCTTTGTCAGATGGGGAACCTCCCCCCCCCCATACCACATCGGGCAGTTGTGAGGGCCAGTGAGAAGAAGTTGCTTTTAATCACAGAAGACTGACTCTGGGTCGGTGGGACCAATGAAGCCCCAGTGGCTGAGCCTCCCAGGGTGTTCTGGAACTCAAACTGAGATGGTAACCTGAGAAATAGGCCTGGACTTTTTAGTACCTTCTTTCTTACACATTTATGAGCATGATTCTGACAAGCTGGTCTGCGGTGTTCACCACAATGCCGAAAGGGTCCACGATGCAGAGAGGTTAGGAACACCTGCCCTAGGAGGTCACTGGGCTCGAGATCCCAAAGGTTGCACCCTTACAGATTATGTCTTGCCTATTTGCAACATGAATTCATGGCACCTTAAAATGCAGACATTTTGCAGCAGGACATCTGTCAGAGGACCAGAAAATGTGTGTGGAGAGGATGGGGTGTGGAGCGGAGGGGGCAGGCCCCATGCAGGGGACAGGGAGCCCAGTGAGAACCTGAGGTTCTTTCCCTCTCTCCCCCATCAGGAACAGCCTCTGGTACCCTACAACCATTAGTTTCCAGCTTCCTAATAACCAAGACACCAAAACAGGCCATTTTTTACAGGTCCCATTGTCAACCAAACTGAATGAGAATTCCTTGTCCTTTTAAAAAGAATGACAGTATAATCCCACTTTGTTTAAAATTGTATATATGTGTATAGAAAAAAGACAGAAGTCATACACAAAAAGTCAAGTGGTGTGACTCCAAAAGATTTTTACTTTCTTTATGATATTTTCCATCTTTTCCATTGTTAAAATGGAGATCTTAAGACTGATGGGATGGATTCTTTTGGCAATAAGATACCAAATTATGAACAGGACCTAAGGCCATGCCAGGCCGGGGTTCATACATTGGGTTAGAATCTCTGGACTCAGGTCTCCAAACGGCTTGTCCCAAGAGCGTCCAGCAGGGGGCAGCAGGGCACCGTGAGCACTGGTTCCGTCCCTGTAACACATCCGTCTGGGGTCAGAGACAAAACACCCCACCTTCCACAGCAGGTGGAAATCAGGAGCAAAGCATCCTTCAGTGTCTGTGGCTCAAGAACCTTGTGCCCTTACAGAGCTGTATATGTAAAAGGAGATTTTGAACAAGTTAATGATTTGTCTCCAGGAAACTCATAAGTAAACAGTTTCTTCCAAAAATCACATTTATTTTTCTCAATTCAGGAAGTCTCAAAGCTCTCATTTTATCTGTTTCATATTTTATTTACATTTGGCTTCATTCCAAAAGGAATTTAAGGCGGCTTCACCAAGTTACAAGTTTTCATCCCATGTACAGAAGATGAAGGAAACTCGGAGGCAACAGGCCCTGTTTAGTGACTGGCATTTGTCTTTGCCAAAATGTGTTTGCCAAAATGAAGGGGAACGTGGTCCAAGGCTGAAGACGGAGCAATTTGGAATGAAAGTGCAGGAACCTTGAAGTGACGCCAAGGGCAAGAACGATTAGTGAGGAGATTCCATGCACAATGCAGGAGGGAGCAGGCTGGCCTCTGGCCAGCGTGAGATGGGGCCTCAGTACCAGTTTGTGGTCAGTTAAGCTGGTGACACTTGGGCAAGGCACTCCTCTCTCTGGGAATCAGTTTCCTCTTCTACGAATAAGGGGATAGGGGTCTCAGACATGGAAACCTAAGGGGACTCCGTGGCCCTGCAGGAAAAAAAACTGAAATGAGTGAGTGTTGTGCTCTGGGGCTGCGGGGGACACAGGAGTCTGGTGGGGAAGGCACTGGAAGGAAACTTTCACTGATAAGAGTGTAAGAAATGGTTTCGGTGGGAACCACAGATCAACCTCCCTCGTCTGCACAGTCTATTTCCAGCCTGGAACTCTCTTTAAGCAGAAGCTGCGAGGGCACAAAGGCCCCTCCTCAGTGCTCCCGGCACACGCGGACCGCCCGGAGCACCTCATGCTCGTTCGGTGAGTGCTGGTCTGGAGCACTGGACTGACTCGTGTCCTCTCCCTGAGGAAGTACACAGCCATGTTAGTCCCCACTGGGCCACCATTTAAGGCCCCTCAGAAAGGAACACACATCAATTGTACAGAGTCTCGGGCAAACACAAACTCTTTCGGTTTTAATCTTTACTTTCAACCCCAATCTCTTTCCTTTTCATTACAAAATTACTAAACAAACATGCACAGGAGAGGAAAACTGACATATGCAAACTACACACCTTGAATAGGCATCTCGACAGTCCCATCACCAACACCCGTGTGCAAGGCACAGACGCCAGGCAGAAAAGTCTCAGTAATCAGAACTACGCCATAAATGCATGATCTTTTTATTTCATATAAAAATGATCAACGTGAAAAAAGCCAGACTGCATGTTGGTTTTACACACTTGTCCCCTCCCCAGTGGCCTTCTTGTCTGGCCAGGCTGGAGGCCAGCCCTTCCAGGAGGGAGAGGCAGCCCAGCATCTCAGCAGTTCGCTGACACAACGAGCGGGATGTGTGTGGTGGGGAAAGCGCCAACGTCCCCGTGCCTTTCCTGGGCTCGGAGGGGACACAGCCTAGCGTGGCTCCAGCCCAGCAGCCGGGTGGTGTGGCCGTACCTTGCCGTGCAGGCAACGGGCTCCCCGCCCAGCTCACGGAGTCCTCTCTGCGCTTGCCTATCCAGGGAGCTGCGACACGCCAGCAGCTGTTCAAGGCATTTCAGTCTGGCTTTTTCATCAGCTCCTCCTACCCCCAGGAGAAGGCGACATCAGTCCACCGTGCCATTGTAGGATTTGTTGAACTTGTTGAAGGTGAAATCCACAGTGTGCGTGGAGATGGGTTTTCTGTACAGAGGGTTTGAAGCCTACAGAACACAGGAGGGAAGAGAACGCGTAAGTTCACTCATTCAAGCCAGCAGACGCAGGCCCTAGACATGCAAGGTCAGCCCCCGCAACACTCCCCACCTGGGTCTGGGACAGGGCTCTGCACAGCCCACTCTGCACCAGGGCTGCACAATCTCACTGTCCAGAACTGGGCACAGCCATTTCAGGTGTTGATTCTTTGTTTTTAATGCCAAAGATGCTAGTGGGCCTTTATCGATAACATACAATTGAACTCAATCCTGCCTCTAGGCTTGAAGTCTCTTCTCCTTCCAATTCCCACTGGCTTACCATTTCGTAGCGGGCCCTGGATCGCTCACTCTGGAACTTTGCAAACTCTCTCCGGTCGTGGATGGTGACAAGCAGCTTCCAGATGGCCAGGAGCGCAATCCCAATGAGGACGATGCTGCCAACCACAGCCAGGAGGATGGTCATGGCATTGGGGGCGGTTCCACACTCTGGAGGGGACCAGGGGGCATGGTGAGCAAAGCCACCAGCATCACCGAGCCCCTCCCAGGTTAACGGTGAGCCTCTCCCCAAGCCTTCCCCTCTGCTCCCCTTAGATCCTCATGGTGCTTCTGGGAGACCTGGGGCGGGGCAGGAAGGTTCCCCCAGTGTACAGAAAGGGAGAGAGTCCCAGCTCACACAACAAGTTGGTGGCAAGGTCTAGATGAGAGGCCTGGTGCACGGCTGCATTTCCCCTACCGGGCAGAACCCACGTCCCCACCTGACCCAGTCCTAGCACGGGTGCTGGACCCTGGCTTGGCTTTCATGTAAATGCTTCCAGGAGCAGTTGGGCAGGCAGGAGGCAGCAAGAAGCCACTTCCACGAGGGTTGGGCTAGGGGCCAATATTTGTAAGCCTTTAGTGTGGAGTCCCTTGTAGCAAATGTGCTTATTTTCAAAGAACCGCAAAAGCGGCGCTTGGAAACAAAGCCTCATTCTCATAGGCAAGCATCCTGCTCTGGTACCACGCTTCCCGCCGCCTCTGGGCCAGGGCAGGCACATTATGTGGTTTGGCTCAATTTAGAAAAACAGTTTGCAATGCTGTGAATTGACGAGAGAAAATCTTTTTCTGCTCTACCCCTTCTGCCCCCACAAGAACGTAAGGGGCACTATTAGGAACCCAGTTACTCTAAGGCAAAGGCCACTGGTCCCTGGGCCCAAGGCAGAGGCAGAATGTTGGTGTTTGGACTGAAGCTTGGCCTCCTCAGTGGCCCGGGGAGCTGAGCGAGGCAGCAGGCAGGGATGTTTAACCCAGCGCTGCACCTGTCCTTGGAGTCCACACCGGGAAGCAGCAGCAGCAGCCAGGGCTGTGTGTGTACCCAGCTGCTCCCCGATTTGAGCGATGCCCCGTCCAGCCCTGGTGGTCCAGACGCCCTGGACCCCCCTGCAGATCACAGCAGCTCCTCGCCACCACCAGCCGTGAAGGCAGGTGTGTTCTGTGGCTGCTTCCACTCCTGACTTCCGTGTCCTCTAAGATGAGACCCCGCCCAGGTCAGGGCCCTTTCCCCCTGTGACTCCTACTGCCCCAACCCCACTGCCCCCCGAGTTCTGCCTGACAATCGGTCCCCAGCTGCACAACCATCTTCCTTTTAAGCTCCAGGAGGGGGTAGCAGCGGCCTTAGGTCTGGATCTTCATAAGGGGATTGTATTTCTCCTCTCTTGGCATTTGGAAAGGACAGTGAGGAGAGAATGGGCGGTGCCCCTACAGCAGGGACGGGCGTCAGAAGTCATAACCTGAGGGCTGGGCCGTGAGGGCCTCACCCACCTGGCTCCCTGAGGACCGTCAGGTTGGACTTCCCGCTGGGGAGCTCCGTGTAGGTGAACATCATGACGCAGTCCTTGGCAGTCTTGTAGAAACAAAGCACGGCCTCCTGGTCATCTTTCACTGGAAGGAAACCAAGCAGGAACGTCGTGAGTGTCTCTGAGCAGCCCAGAGCCACTGATGGGGGGGCGGGGGCGGGAGTGCGGGAGGGGCCGTGCCGTGCCAATGAGCTCCGGTCTCTTACACGCAGAACGCAGGCCCAGGGCTGAGCTGGGATTGCTCTGGGGACACGTGGGACACATTAAGGATCTTCAACCCTCTGGAGTGTCTACTGGGGTGATGTGAAAGAAAAGCCCATAACGGTTAGGGTGGATGTGTGGATGGAGCCAGCTGTGGAAATTAAAGGCACAGAGGAAAGAAAGAGCCATCCTGACCCCTTCAAGGCGCGAGTGACAGTTCACATTCGGGGAACAGCCCGGGCCACGCAGGGTGAGAGCAAAGGCCCAGCGGCAGCGGCTCTTTCCTGGGACGTAGAATCAAAAGGAACCACAGGGTGATGAGGACATCTGGATAAGAGACTGGCCCCACAGCGGCGCCACACCCTGAAATGCCGTGAGTCAGCGCTGAGGTCAGGCCACCCCAGCCCACCTGACACCAGCTGGCTTCGCCCTCTGAATCCCGAAGCCCCATCCTCAATCCGGCCCAACTGCTCCTCGCCCCTGCCACCGGCACCTGGGGACAGGGTCACAGCCCCTGTCCAGGCCTTGTCTGCACTCCAAGGACGCGCCAGAGATGGTTACGAGATTTTAGAAGGGAAAGGACCCGGGGGAGTGCGAAGGAGTGAAGGATGAAGAGACAGGGGCAATGGCAAACGGGTCGAGGACAACCGAAGGTCAACGTTACCATGTGACAGGCTTTTCAGCTCTTGCCTTTTAACCTTGTTGCTCAAAGGAGCTTTTTTAAATTTAATTTTTTTTTTTGTTTAAAAGCCAATCAAATTTAGCAGTGGGGGGCCAAAGGAGCTTTAACCTGAGGGCAGATGAATCAGTGTGGTTACCAAACACGAAACCCAGGGCTTTTCGCTCAGCCCCTTAATCATAGGCCGGAGCTGTGTGTGTGTGAGAGAGTGTGTGTGAGAGTGTGTATGTGTGTGTGAGAGAGTGTGTGTACCTATGTGAGAGTGTGTGAGTGTGTGTGTGTGTGAGAGACAGAGAAAGCCCAGGGGAAGGAGTAGAAGGGTAAATGACAGCTTCTCTGACCATGTGTGCCCAGTTAGGAGCAACCAGCCCAGGTCCACAGGCAGAAGCTGCGGTCAGCAGCCCCTGACCGGCAAGACGGAAGCAGGGCAGGAAGACGGGTGTGTGGGGGGTGACAAGACCGAGGCCCACTCCCCACTGTCTTCCCAGGGGACAGACAACACCTGGCACACAGTAGGCACTGGGTGAACACGTGACTCAACCTCAGAGGCCATGATTCGGCCAAGAGGCTAGTCACAGCCAGGGAGGCAGGGACAAGGCGGGCTGCAGGGGAGGTGGCTGGGCCCAGGGCAGGCAGGCGGTGGGGCGGGGGCGTGCAGGGCCGGGGTGGGGGACAGGCAAGCCTGCCAGCGAAGGGAGCCTGAGAGGCAGCCGGCCTTTCAAAGTACATAGTCTTTTCCTCCACCATGTTAACCATTTTAAAGTGTGCAGTCAGTACTTTAGTGAACTCACAATGTGGTGTGACCATTCCCACTAATTCCAGAACATTTCTATCACCCCAAAAAGAAATCCATACATAAACTGGCAGTCAACCCCAAGTTCCCCCTCTCCCCAGGCCCCGGCCACCACTACTCCACTCCCCGTGTCCCTGGCTCTGCCTATTTTGGACATTTCATGTGACAGAATCATGTAACGTATGTTCTTTTCTGTCTGGCTGCTTTCACTCCGCACATCTGCATGGCTCATCCACGTCCTAACTCATGTCAGGGCTTCACTCCTTTCCAGGCTCAGTCGTATTCCACATTATGGCTATACCACATCGTCTGTACCCTTCATCAGCAGATGGACACTTGGGTTGTTTCCACTTTCTCTCTATCATGAATAATGCTGCTCTGAACATCTGTGTGTAAGTTGCTGTGTGGACACGTGGACCCACTTCTCTCGGGCATATGGCCAGGACTGGAGCTGCTGGATCGTACGGTGATCCTACATTTGGCTTCATAGGGAACTGCCACGCTGTCTTCCAAAGCGTCTGCACCATTTTGGCAGTGGATGGGGTTCCAGCACCGTGTCCTCGTGGGGAGCCGGCAGCCATGCCAAGGAAGCCCGGGCTGTGCTTCCCGGCTCAAGGCTAAACCCAGCCTCCTCCCCACGGAGGAGAAACTCTCCAGGCGGCTGCCAAGGTGCAAAGAGGGCGCTGCCCAGGGCTGCCCCGGCACACTCACCGATGGTGTCCACCCGGGTGATCACCTCGTCCTTGCACAGGTTTTGGCAGGTCTGGTTGTCAGCCTTCCCGGAGTGAAGCAGCAAGCACTCGACACAATCTCTTTGGGAAAAAAGAAATAAATGCGGCTGTCAGGTGTGTAGAACAGTCCTACACCTGTAACTGAGCTCCCACAGTGCAGGTCCCCTGAGGCTGTCACTTCTTCCTGCCTTCAGACATGTGGCCTCAGGGAATGTCCCTCTCTGCCCTTCCTGCTGTTGTTATGCAGGAAGCCCAGGGTTCTCGGAGGAGCACAGGTGAGCTTGGAGGCATGTCTGGTCTACCTGTCAAGCCCCAGACCTTTCAGATTCTGACACCAGGAGCCCAATCCATGCGCACCTGGCACATCCAATGCCTGGGTGAGGAGTCTGCGCCACACAGGAGATGCAAACCTGTACCCCTGGTGCCCGGAGGGGTCCTACCACCCCCGTGGCCAGTGCTTGATGCTCCCGCACTGCCAATTCCCAGGATCCCACCTTAGTCGTCACCCAGGACCAGGCTCTCATCCTCCTGCACATCAGACTCTCCAGGGGCCTCCCAGAGAAAGTACCAGTGCCTGGCCCACCCACACCTACAGAACCCCACCTCTGGAGCATTCTGATGCACAGCGAGGGCTAAGAAGCCCTGTCCTGGAGAACCTGGGCTCCAACACCCTCCCTCCCCCATCAAGCCCACCTGCTGGCTTCCCCAAGGCCCTGCTGCCCTCTTACCTGTCAGTGAGTCTACACCAGACTTTGGTACAGGCTACGGTGACGGCTCCCTCCCAGGGAACCTCCATTTTATAACGGACCTTCTCTAGAAAATGCACGAGGAGCCAGAGAGAGACGCTCTGAGGCCCTCTCCTCCCACCCAGGCCAACAGTGTAAAACAGATAGTGTGAACGTGCTTAATTACAATGCTCCATTAGATTCTTATTATCACACTTTAGAGAGTCAACACCCAGCTCTCCTCCATGTCCAATGTTAGGTGACTCCCGAGGGTGCAGGCTAAGGACTGTGGGGCTGACGTGGGAGGGCAGGCGGCCCCTGACCTCCTGGGGGACGAGGGCTGAGGGTACCTAGGGTGGTGAGAACTGGACTCCAGGGAGGGGCGGCTTGGGCAAAACTACCCAGCTGCCACGTAACCTCAGGGACTCTGTGTGGCAGTGGTGCTCGGTGGGCTACGGGGAGGGTGAGAGCCCGCAGGAGGGACCCCTCGGGAGACGGGGCTAGGGCTCCGGAGCCAGCTGTGCTGTGGGGGCCACTGCAGTGCTCGCAGAGCCTCAGCTATGTGGGTGCAGCTGCCCGAGGGCACCAAAGGGGCTGTGTGTCTGGGAGGCTCTGCAGCAAAATACAGAGGGATGTATAACCACACCCACTGCCTTTATCATCATCTGTTTTTTAATTCCTTAGGACTAGGAGGCCAGTTACTAAAACTTTTCCAGGGCAGAAAGTGTGAAGTGGAATATCAGAACTGGAAGGAGCTCAGAGATCACTTCATTCAGCCCCCTTATTTCCCAGAGGGGGAAACTGAGGCCCAAGAGAAGTCAATGGCAGAGTGAGGTCTGGCAGCCAGGCACCCCCCCCTCCATTAACAAGCCCCTCCCCAAGTCCCTACACCACTTTCTGAACACTAAGAAGCAATGGGCAAGTGAGTAGCTCATAAAGGGAAAGTGGATAAGACTATCTTAAGGTTCTAGTATGCTTAAGAATTCACCTAACCCAGAATTGGCCACAAAATCCCACTCTCCTGGGACTGACTTGATGGGAACATTGCAGAGCTAGAAATAAATTGATAATGCTTACATTTCCCCTGAAGTCACAGCCCCAGAGGGCAGGCAACTGAGACTTGGCTGGGGGCCAGGAGGGGTGGCTCTGGCTCTGGTCGCTCATGCTGCCCAGCCTGCCCCCTGCCAGCCTCCTGGATTCACAAACACACACGGCAGAGAACACGGCTGCTGTCCGTGCCAGCGAGGACCCTATGTGCCCCACATCGGATGCTCTGCTGTTAAGCCATAGCTCCGGGCCACATCCAGGAAACATTCCCTAATTATCCATGTGGACACATCAGTCTAAATCGTAACACAGTATAGTCATGTACTAAAATAAGTCTGCCCTTTTTAAGTCTTTTAGAGACTTTGCACAGAGAGCCTGTTAATTGAAATCAGCTGGTGCTGAGTGTGAACTTACCCAAAGTGAAAGGTATATTTGGTTAGTTCTAGAAAGTGGAAATTGGCTGCCCTGAAACTCCAGGGAAAAAAGGACATAGGACATTCAAAACCTGGGGGCTCTCAGCAGAGCAGGAAGTAGGAAGAAACAGCCTGATGTAAGTCACTATCAAAAGGACTTTGTTTAAAGAAAAAAAAAAGTTTCAACTAGGCCGTGAAAGAGACAGAGAGTCAGTGTGGCCCAGAGACAAATAAGAAGGAATAGTGGTGCTCCCTTATGGCATCTCTTTGCCCTCCCTGCTCCTTTGGTATTGTGTAATGGACAACAAACTATTAAGTCTATGTCTTTTAGGAAATAAATGCTTTAAACATTTAAAGCAAGGGTTGTTTTCCCCTGGGCCCTTTAACTGACCTAAAGCCAATCCCACACTGCCCTGCTGCTCCATAGGAAGGGAAGAAGGAGGGCTTCATCGCATTTTATTGATTCCATGTGTGTTGTCCTGGCTTGGCCCCAACCCCCGACAGAACTTGTGTGCCCAGGGGCTGAGAGCACATGCTCAAAAGGTTCTGTGCTGGTAGGTGGGGGTGGGGCACCTCCCTCGGGCACAGAATGTAGACAGTGGCTGTGATTCCATGCTCAGATGGCCACGGCTATCTGGGCTCCAGATCCTGGATGACAGCCTTCTTCCCGTGGCCGTTTCTATCTGGAGTTCTGCTGTTCCTCCTCCCTCAGCAGGTCTAAAGTGGGTCTGGTTTTCTTCTCCTGTACTCTCCCTCGACCCTTCCAATTAAACAAATTAAAACCTGGCCCTGTCTATCTTGTCTCTCCATCTGCGGCCAGCTTCCAATTACCTACGCCCGGGCTATTCGTGGCAAATGTCCAAGCAGGGGTTCTGCCACCCAGAACGTTTCTGAGCGCAGACTGACCAGCAGCCACTGCGGGACAGGGAATGTGTGAGCTCATTTCATTATCAGCCTGGGCCAGACATTCCGAAGGGAAATCTGCCAACAGAAAGTCACACAGTTGTGCTCCTTAGCCAAAGAGAGACCATGTTTGCATTATTTGTTTCTGATCATCTGTGTCCCTGCTTCCCTCCCGCCTGGCTCCTTAGCATGAGGAATGATGACGCAGCTGTTTCTCCAGCAGATTGCAAGAGCAAATGTCACCCTTGCTTTCCAGGCGGGCTTCGGTCTGCAATTCTCTCTCATTTGCACTCTGGGGGAGTGTGAGGGGCCGCGCCGTGGGAGGTGGTCAGCACAGCTACGTGAGCCCGGGGCCGAGTCCCTGTGCCTGAGTCTAGACAATCTCTGCATTCAGCAGCCATGCAGAACCAGCGCTCCATTATCTGTATAAATGGAGCAGAAAATTCAAAAGCCACTGCCGTTGTTTCTGGCATGCCTTATCTAGGTCGGGTGCCTTCCCATCCAACTTATCTTCTGATTATGTTTTGTTTAAAACAGCATTTCCCACATGGGTGTTCTGTGAGACGCTATTTGGGAGATGTCAATGGGAGAGATCAAATTCATTTGAAAAAGGATTCATGCCGTGTTCCCTTCGGAAAATACACAATAGTACACTAAAGGCTCTGAGAAGGTTCTATTTTGGAGCCAATGCCAGTTTAATTTCATTTAACTTTGTATTCCTGTAATTTCTAAACCTAAAGGATAGCGGTGTTGTTTTTGTGTTCTATTTTGTTTTTGTTGGTGTACAACAACCCCTTGGAACCCATGTTTCAAAGCTACCATTTTAGTTATGGTGAGTAAGAGTTCTGTTCCCCAGCGAGGCCAGGAGGGTGGAAGATTCGGGAGAGGGGGCGTGGAGGCTGGCCGGCTGGGAGACAGGCCGGGCCTGGGTGGGACGCGTGGGCGGGGCTGCCAGCGGGCGTTACCTCTTGGTGCTGCAGGCGTCGGGGCAGGTGGGGCACTTCTCACACACCTCCCCGAAGGCCCCTGGCTCCGTGCACTGGCACTGCCCACAGACGCAGTGCCCGCGGTCGCTGCAGATCTGGCCATCCTTGGCTCGGCACGTGCTGATGTCTGTTGAGCAGTTACAGTTGTCCCCGATGTAACCTGCGTGGCACTTGCATTCCCCGCAGTGACACTCACCATGGCCTAAAAGGACACACATGGCACGTCAGGGCCTGCCTGCCTTTGCACAGGAACCACCCGCGCCGGCCACGCACTGGGCACTGGGGGCCAGCAGAGTGGGACACTGACTGTCCTCAGAGCCTGTCTGGAAAGACAGAGGGAAAGGACCTGGTGCTGGCATGGAGGGACGGGGGGACTCTGGCAACTGGTGTGGCCTGGCTGGGTCTCGGTTGGTGCTCCAAGTGCGTCCAGAACTTGGCCAAGTCATGCCACAGGGCAAGGACCCAGGAGAGCTTCCTCCTGCCTCAACTGTAGCAATAATGGCCCCACATGTGTTCACACACTAATGCCCAGAACCTGTGAACATTACCCGACGTGCCAAAAGAGACTTTTACAGACGAGATGAAGTTAAGGATTGTGAGATGGGCATTCTCCTGGGTTGTCAGGTGGGCCCTGGATGGAATCACCCGGGTTCCTACGAGCAGGAGAGGGAGACCGACTGCAGAGGAAGAAGGCCACTGACAACAGAAGCAAGAGGCCCTGCGGCTGCTCTGAAGATGGAGGAAGAGGCCAAGAGCCCAGAATGCAAGGAACGGGGCTCTAGCGCTGGAAAAGGCAAGGAAACGCTCCTCCCTAGGGCCTGGGAGGGATGGGGCCCTGCCGACGCCTTGACTTTAGCCCGTTGGAAAAGGTGTCAGGCCTCTGACCTCCAGAGCTGTGAGAGAGTAAATCTATGTGGCTTCAGGTCACTAAGTCTGTGGTCATTTGTTGCAGCCACAACGGAAAACTAACACATTTGTTCTCCCTCAGTTCTAGTGAGGTGCCGAATTCTTGCTCTGGCCTCGGGACCCACAGCCCAGAAAGGGCTGACTTAGGAGCGGATGTGAGAACACCCACGGAGCGGCAGTCACGCTCACTAGTGCCTTCCGCACGCGTGCCAGGCACTGCTTCAAGTGAATTCTTACAGCACCCCTAGGAGGTAGGTGTTGGCATCCTTGACTTACGAGTGACCCTGGTAGTTGGATCCCAGCACCTTCCCTGGGACCACCAATGAGCGTGACCCACAATATAGGTCAGGACCTAACTCCCAAGAGCCTCTTCACCTGCCACCTAACTTCCTGCCCCGGCTCTGTCTGCTCTCTAGTGCCTAGAACCTGCAGGCGGCAGGGAGACCATCTGGACAACCGAGCCTCCCAACCCTCCCAACCCTCCCGTGCCCAGACAGCCTCTCCAGCCTCTCTGCTCACTCGCAGCAAATGTTGTCCTAGGAGAGTGCCTCCCTGTCACCGGCAGCCCTGAGACATATGGCAAGCCCTCCAGGAGAGGTGAGGAGAGCCAGCCCCAGGCGAGGATGAGGCTGTGGAATGCAGTCTGAACTGCTTAGAAGCCACAGGAGGGACAGCACCCCGTTTGAGGGGTCCTCAGTGGGGGCAGGGAACGGGCAGCCTGAGCTCACCCTGGGGAGGGAGAGGACCGGCCTGCCCTGCCCCCACCAGTCTGTGACCAGCACCGGCTTGGAGCCTTGGCAGCAGGAACCACCCACAGGACAGTCTTCACAATTGCAATGGATCCGATCCACATAACTCCCTCATTCTCTCGCCTTAGGGACCACACTGGTCAAGAGCCTGGTTTAAATTAAAATAGTTCACTGTTAGGGGGTAGTTTCCCCCACGCCCCAACATTTTATTAAGAAAATTTCCAAACCTGCAGCAAAGTGGAAAGAATTGTGCAGTGCATATCCTGGTAGCGACCACCCAGATTCCACCATTAGCTCGTCACATGTGGCTTTATAACATCCATCCGGCAATACATGTTTCTTAAAAATGCATTTCAAAGTGAGTTTCAGACATCAGTGCACTTCTAAGGTAGATTTTTAATATGGCTCTGGCATTCTCCGATGGCTTGTACATCACACCATCCCATAAAGCAAAAATACACGACGTAGAAAGTGCGCTGAGTGCTGTATTCACAAGCACCAAAGACGGCAGGCCAGGCCGGAGGGCTCGTTTTGTTTGAGATGGTGAATGTTGTTTTCTTTCCCACTCTAATTGTTGGCTTCAATATGAAATTATCCAAATATAATCTGATGCAATATTCCAAGTGCCATAGGATTGTAGAGAAGGTGGTATCGTATTTTGTTGAAGTTTGGGTTGGGGTGAAATGTGTGCTGAGGGGAGACCTTGCTTCCTGTGCCATCTCCATGGGAACAGCACACAGGCAGAGGTACATGTTACCCTGTGTTTCCCACCATGACAGGTGGGTGGCGAGTAACCCCGGCTGCTAGGGTTCACGAAGAGAGGAGTTAGGAGCCAAGGGCAAGAGAGAGCGGGAGCTGGCGATTCACCAGAGACACAAGCCGCTCCTGAAAGTTTCCTACAACCCTCGAGCACAGCCAGGACGTGACAAGGAAGCAGCCATGTGCAGAGGGCCGGGGGAGGGGACAGGGCTCCATCAGCCCAGGCCACATCGGTGTGGGGTGAGCAAGTGGGAGCAGCTGAGGGGCCGTGGGACAGCTGAAAACCCTCATCCATGTGGCCTTTTGGCCTCTGCTGTTTGATGACTCCAAAGCAAAGTCCTAGCAAACCAAACTAAGAAATTGCTGAAACCACCAGAAATTTTGTCGTTAGTGACTCTCATAACAACCCCAGTTTAGTTCATATCGGGTAGCTCACTGCCTTTCAGAGAGCTTACAGCAGCAGCAGCGCCGTGGCACATGCCACCACATCCCCCTCCCCCTCGAGGCAGACTCTGCAGTCTAACCCGGGGGCCCTCGGCCTCCGAAGCCTGAAGCCTCGACACAGTCCTCCACGTGGCTTCCACCAAGTGGCGGGAGCTGGCGCACAGACACAGCCACTTGCAGTCTTGGTTTAAAGCTTCCAAGTCTCCTGTAGACAGTGTGACCCACACAGAATGTCAAAAACCACACAGGTCTGGTCACACTTTACCCTGATCCAAACGTCTCCGCTCCTGCAGTCGGGCCTCAGCCTGCCTTTCCCTCGGCCTGCGTGCTCGGAGGCTTCCCACATCCTCTCGGCAGCCCTGGCCTCTCCTAGTGCCCTAGCAGGAGCGCATGTCACTAAAATGGCCAGGGTCATTCGGCCGCGTCCCAAGGATCAATAACCCATCAATCACTAGTCACGGGGAACGGGAATGCTGTCCGAGCTGACACTACGCAGAGGACCTAAGTGAGGACTCAACAGCAAAGCTAATTTATAATGCTGGCCTGGCAAAGTGAGTCGAATTTAATGATGGCTGTTTAATAATGTGCAGGCATAAAAATATTTTCATTACACATAGGCAGGGATGTGGAAGGCATGTGAAAGCACCACGCAAGCTGTGAACTGCTACACGTGCAAGTTATTATTAGGACCTTTGTTACAGTGATTGATAGCTAAATGGACAGGAAGTTGTAAATGTGCCTATTTATGCAGAATCCCAGCTCTACAGAATTCAGCAGCTTTCCATCAGCAGAACAGCGCTGTGTGGGCTGTGGGCCAGGACGTGGCCCCTTGCTGCCTCTTATAAAATCGCACGCAGGCCACTCAGAGGGCGGCCGGCTGGGAAGGAGCTGCCAGGAGGGGAGGGGAACCCGTGGCCTGGAAGCCAAAGTAGCCAGTGAGAGGGTGGCCCAGCATCAAGGCTCTGCAGAGGCCAAGGACAGCAGATCCTACAGCGGCTACTAGTTTGGCCACAGACTGGGGAGGACGGAATCCAGCATGCAGGGGGCTGAGGAAGTGGTGAGGGCAGCGTAGGCAACTCCACGCGTTACCTGGTGGTGCAGGGACCGGAGATGACGCAGGGGAGGGGGGTTTGTGGATGGGATACAGCTGAGTATTCTCCTGACAAAAAAGGAATTGGGAGAAAGTTTTGGGGAGAAATGGAGGGATCAGGGGAATGGCCGGCCCTGAAGTGCTCACAGCAGAGATATTGTGGGGACGAGCGGAGGGTGACGTGTGGCAGAGGCAGAGGATGAAGTTCAAAGTTCCAACAGCAGAGGAGTTCAGGTAGCAGGCGATGAGGGAAACGATGAGGGGGGTGGGCTGGGGCTCAGTTGGAATCCTCCCCCCATCATCCCCTGTGCCACCATGGGCAGGTCCTTAAACCTCTCTGATGACCCATTTCTTCTTCTGTCAATGAGGCTAATGCCTCCCTTGCAGGACCGTTGTCAGAAATGCCAGCACTGTTGCAAGCAAAGCCCCCATGCCATCTCTGGCACAGGGCACCCAGGACACGGGAGCCGGAACTGCTGCGAATGCCACTGGAGCTGGGTACTCAAGGACCCGGAGACCAACGAGTCGGACAGCTCAGCCACAGGGAAAGGCAGGGCACCGGGACAGCAGGACTCGGGGCAGAGGGCGGGAGTGTGAGGCAGGCACAGACGTCTTTGGGGAGTGTGGGGGTGACAGGACAAGTTGAGGGATGGCACAGCCTCACGTGAGGGCAGGGGTCCGGGGGTGGAAGGCAAAGGGCTGAAGGCATCGCCGAGGAGCTGCCCTCCAGCCTCCCCTACCCGCTCTCAGGGCTGCCAGCTGCAGGGGAGGGTGGGGACTTCTGCACAGGGCTGAGGATGAAGAGGAGCCCGTCCGCCACGGCACATGGGTGGAGAGCAGCGCTGGGACACAAGGAACCATTTGGAAAACAGGGTGTCGAGTACAGTGGTTGACATGTGGGCTCTGGGTCGGCCTCCTACATCTACTTACCAGTAGTAACTGGTGCTTAACCCCTTTGCATCCTGGTTGCCCTGTTTTTAAATGGGGGTGGTGGTGTGAGTTAAGTCACTTAACCTGTAGAAAGCACTTAGAACAGTTTGGCATATAGTAAGTGCTCAGTAAATGCTAGCTCTCTTCATCATCATTGTTGATATCACAGTGGGGGACAGAGGGGGAGAGAAGGTTGAAGCAGATCTTTTTGGAAGATGGGTGAGCTCTTCTTGTCAGCTTGGATCAAAGCCTGCCAGAGCCGAAAGCTCCCACACGGTGATCTAATCCACACCCAGCCTGAAGCGAGGACACCCAGGACTAAGG